AAAACGTCGACACTGGGGAGAATATCTGCTCTGTCTATTCACTCTTTCGCCTAGCACAGGGAAGTAGTAAGCCCATTTAGGCCATCACATAAAGCTATATTTTCTAACCAATTGATAATAAAAGTGATATTTTGTTTCTCTGCTGTTTGTCTCATTTCTCAAGACCCTAGGTTGAGAACTTGGGTGCCACTTATTTAACCCTTAAACCCACAGCACCAGGTGCAGTGGCTCACGCCTGTAATCCTAGGACTTTGGGAGGCTGAGGCAGCAAAATTGCTTGAGCCTGGGAGTTTGAGGTTGCAATGAACTGTGATGCCACCACTGCACTCTAGCCCTGGTGACAGAGCGAGACCCTGTCTCAAACAAACAAACCCACAGCTAAAATTCAGCCTTACGCCAGCATTCAAAACCTATGAACCTCTGGATCTTAGAGAAGGAGAAGCTGGTGCTGTGCAAAGCTTGACCTCAGGAGACAGCTAAAACTTGAGAGGTGATCATAGCTAAGGGCAGTGGTTGTTGACCATTTTTCCACACTAACACCTTCCCATCCGTAACAATGGCTCACTATCGCCACCTTCTCAACCAGGAAGTGATGAGCAGTGCACACGCCTAGGACAGCATCTCAGAATCTGTCGGGAAGTTGTATGTCGATTAAAACTAAAACAAGCAATTTTTAACATGCCTCTCTAGGGGAGACCTGTGCAGTCTGCCAGTGCCATGAGAGACAGTGACCTAGGCTTTGACCCTCAGCTTTTCAAGTTCAGAAACTCAACTTTGTCAGCTCGTCAGTGATAATTGGGCTCTGGGGTGTTGAGTCACACAACTCTCAGTCACAGAGGCTGATTTATAATCCAGAATGTCAATTAACCAATTTAAAATGGAAGATACAGCTTTCCAGCACTTGAACTATTCATGACCCCTTTTTGAACTACCCGCTAGTATGTAGATGGCTGGAAAACCAAATCAGTTACCAACTGTGAGAGATTAAGAAAACTGCACTGACAAAAGACCTGGTGTTCAATCCCAGTCCTGCCATTGACTTTGATCTTGGGCAAGTCAAAGCCTCCCTGAATTTTTAAACTCTGAGGCAAGGCTGCCTGCATCACAAAGTGGTCAGGATTGATTAGTATGGAAGCACGTTGTTAATTATAAAACGTTTTCCAGTTACAAGAAAACTACCAAAGCATAGGAGATTCTTTCAAGGATATAGCGTCTGTTCTAGGGCTTGCAACACGGTTTTGCTCTACTGGAGAATACATCACTTTCCGTAACCTTAGTATGCATAGCCAGATATGGCGTACCTAGTGCCAGATTCCTGCCCTTGTCTAGAGTCCTTCCTGTAAGCACGTTATACACTTTCGTAATGTGTTGATTCTTAATTACACACATTTATTGTTCAGCTTTTAGATTGGCTGCCTCTGAGGCCAGGCTGTTTCTAGGCAGCACCAGAGTTTCTGATTCAGTGGCTCTGGTGTGGGACCTGAGAATTTGTACTTCTAACAAGTACCCAAGTGATACTGATCTAGGGACCGGATCACACTTTGACAACCACTGATCTAGTTCAAAAGATAATGGCCTTAAGCTGAAACTAAGAAGAAAATCTGTTGCTTCCCTATATAATGGGAAAACTCAAACTCTGTAAAATAACTTAAAGAGGTTTATTCTGAGCCACGTATGTGTGACTGACAGCCCAGAGCACATGTTTTGAAGAGGTTCTGAGAAAATGTGCCCAGGAATTACATGTAAGATCATAAGTCAATATGTGGAAGGTGTACATTGGTTTGGCTGGAAAAGGGGGTACGTCTCCAGCTGGGGTGGGGTGAGGGAGCTTACAGGTGATAGGTGGGTTTAAGGATTCTTTGATTTGTAATTGGTTAAAGACATGAAGCTTTGCCTAAAGCCTTGGAATGTTTTAAGGTAAGGATGTCTGTTAATCAGAGACACCCTCACCAGAAACTCAACTGTTAAGTAAATTGATGTGGCTTAACCTTTGTCTTGCGTGGTCTTAGGCCTGTTAACGATTTAGTCTCCTATTGTTACAAAGAGTAACTCCAAAAAGGAGAGGGCAGGAATTTTGTCTGACCTCATAGCCTGCAACTTAGCTTTAAGGTTTTTCTAGGGTCCCCTTAGCCAAGAGGGAGTCCATTCAGTCAGCCTGGGGCTTTAAGATTTTATTTTAGTTCGTACCTGCTACTGCCTTGCTGGGGTCAGCACATAAGTACCTGGGCTTTCCCCACTTGGGGTGAAGTTCAGCTATGGGTGCTCAGGTCTCTGCTTTAGGGATTTGCCTGAGCTTCTGCCTCCCCGCTATGTAGACGCTCATTTCTGTCTGGCTTTATCACTATATCCTACTGAAGAATTCAGAAGTTAAAAATGTTTGAAAGATGCAATGTCCTTTAGAAACATTTTCCTAATTGGCTTGAATGGAGCTATCAGGGAGTGCTTGATGGTACTTACATGGCATCACTCCCTAGCAGAAAGGGAAGCAGACGCCTGGCTTACTTGACTGAGAACTCGCGTGGGCAACTCTGAGGGCTGTGCTTTCTGTATCTTCCTCTGTGTAGGTTCTAGTACAAAGGCCAGGCACTGCTCTAAGGGGTTTGTACATACTAACACATTTAATCCACATAGCACTACCGTGAACCCCTAACTGGGGCTCAGGGAAGTTGAGTGACTTGCCCAAGTTCATAGAGCTTGAAAGCATGAGAGTCAAATCTGGACTCAAGCAGTTTGACAAGAAAGTCTGGGCTCCTAACCACTATGTTATGCCGTCCAATACAGTGCTCAGTAAGTTTATTCAGTGTTATGAAAGACTATATGCCTCCTACTCTACAGGAAAATCATCAACAGGTACAGTGACCTTCAACTTTCTGCCTCCTCCAGTCTGTAAACTTATGACTTCCATATCTTCCCCCTCTGCTTTTCCTCCAGTCTCAAAAAAGAAGTTTCCCCTCTCTCAGTTCAAGGCCAGTCCCTTCCTATGACCTCGACACCATCTCTTCCCATTTTCTCTGGACTTCGCTCATCAGTTATTCTTTTAGTAACTTTAATCTCTCCTTTCCTTCCCCTCTTCCTCACCCATCAACTTGCTCAAGCATCTAAGAAAATTCCCCCACGGGACCCAGCACTCACCTTTCCAGCCCCCATTCGATCGTTATCCTCGCCTCCATTTCAGGGTTCTTGAAAGAACACTCCTCACCTCTTGCCTCCCCTCCTGTTCTTGTTTCAATTGGCTGAGATCTGATTTCCACCTGCATTATGCTTTTTAAACTCTCACTCACGTTCACCAGTACATTCCCAATTGCTAAATGTTTTCAGTTCTTATTTACTGAAATTCTATGCTGCACTTGACGGCTCTCTGCCCCTTGAAACTCTTCATTCACTTGGCTGCCTGGGGGTGGCTCTGCCTCAGCACTCCACCAATTCTCCCTGGGAGACCCCATCCACTTACCTATATTCAGGTCAACATCTTTCATAAAGGAAAATCTTAGTGTCTGGTATCTTCGTGGAATGGTATCTAAGGGGTGGGGGGAAGTATACCTGTATTACCTTGTACACTTCTCTCTGTATTCTGTTTCTCTTTCTTCTCACTAGAGTCTTAGCTACCTGAGGGCAAAAACTGTTCTACTCATCGTTTTATCTTCAGCTCTTAGTACAGCCTGCTACAGTAGACATGGAACGGATACCTGTTGAACAAATTACCCCTTATAAACTTTGCTTCACAGATGTCTGGGCAACTTCTGTAGATGTGTCCAAATGTTTATAGAAATGTTTTGAACATTGTACAAGTGTTACAAACATTCAGAGAAGAGAAATATCATTTTTGGCTAAGAAGTTGTGAGGGTGATAGCACTTGAGCTGGAAATAAAGTCCAGAGGCAGGAAAGGAAGGGGAAGAGTACTAACTGACCTTCAACTCCCATGCCAGAGGCTAGAGGATAGCAACTGGAGCGACTGTGTGGAAACATCAAGTTTGGATAAGGGAATAGAAGATTGAACAAAAAAGACAGGTAGGGGCCGGGCATGGTGGCACACACCTGTAATCCCAGCACTCTGGGAGGCTGAGGTGGGAGAATCACTTGAAGCCTAGGAGTTGGGGACCAGCCTGAGCAACATAGCCAGACCCCATCTCCCTGTAGTCCTAGCTGCTTGGGAGGCTGAGGTGGGAGGATCACCTGAGCCCAGGAGTTCGAGGCTGCAGTGAGTTATGATTGTGTCACTGCGCTACAGCCTGGATGACAGAATAAGACCTCATCTCAAAAAAAAAAAAAAATGATAAGTAGGAAATCATCAACAGGTACGGTGACCTTCAACTTTCTGCCTCCTCCAGTCTGTAAACTGGGGAGGGTCTGAAGGCTAAGCTAAGGAACATTAATCCAGGAGCGCGTAGTCTATTCTCAACAGGGTGCTGAGTGATCCCATCTACATAAACCTGGCAGCTGAGTGTCTGCTGGATTGGAACCAGGATGCACTGGAGGTGAGTGACCAAAGAATGCTCCAGGAAGCAAAACGAGAGCCTGCTCCAGGGCAGCAGCCCTGAAACAAGAACATATCTGTAGTACTTGACAGGTTTCACCAAATCTAATCAATAATGTATGTACATATATATGTATGTATGCACATATATAAAGATCTATTATACACATAAATTTTAACATTTTTGATACTGAAATACAGTCAATTGCATGTCTTCCTTAATTGGCAGTATTTCTTCTTAACAATACATAAAATAATGCTGCATCTTCAAGTTGATGCTGTCTTAGAGTCAATGAAATATGATAACTGGATGTGAATAAGAAATAAGGAATTCAAAAGCAAAGATTCAAACCTGGGTGATTTGAAGAATTCCATTATTCCTAACAAAAAAAAGGAAGGGATTTTCCTTGATCCCTATACAAGAGTCTAACTAAATCTTCTACTTCAGCAATGACCCATACACGATATTACTGCTTACCCACTTTCTCCACTTGAACTTATTAATAAGAATAAAGGGAAGTACTCTTAATGACAACTTTAATATGAACACGTGTTTGACCCCCAAGAAGCCATTACCACTGAAAGGGAGGAGCAAGCTGACGCTGAAAGGAGTACGATGCTTAGGGGTGAATGGCATGCTGCTTCTGGATCCTGCTGATATACAAATATATCAAAGCCACAGTCATTTGAACAATCGGAACTTCTTCAAATACTGGCTCACTTCTTCCTTGGGGTAGGGCCGCAGTGCAATGCAAGTAGGGATATTCTCTGGCTGCTCAAGCCACAGTACGTGGTCGATGTTCTTCTGTTGCAGGGTCTCAGCCAGCTCCTTCAGGGTGGTCTCATCTGGGGCCTGCAAGGAGCAAAATACAGATTGAATAGCTCATTTAGGAAGTATCAAAAGGCCAAAAAAAGGGCAGGGCATCCTCTTAACTAAAAGTGAAAGAACTTTACAAAAGAAGGAGCTGCCCTTGGTTGCCTTTCACTCTCTGCCTGGCAGTGGGGAGGGGGAGAGGCTTACTATTGCTATTTATATTAAATGGAGATATTTCTCTTCCCTCTTGAGATGTTGTATGTGCTGTCAGTAATTACGCTGTGTACCTTTTCTAGTTCTCATATGGCTGGTGCCCACAATATCTAACCCTGATTCTTTAGCCAGCTCTGACTTTAAGAGCTGACTGCTGGAAGGATTTCTAAAATCACATCCACCTCCCCTCCCCTCCTCCCCTCCTAGTCTATGTCACACGAACCTAGGATTTTCCTTCTCCTAGGAAAGAGAGCCCCTGCTTGTTTACTCACATCACAGGAGGGTAAACTATTCCCTAACATACTTCTAAAATTGTTTCTGGGTCATCCTTACCACCCATTCACTCAGGCCGAATACCATTACAAGGAGTATTAAAACTACCACTCAAAAAATAATGTATGTTATTTTGCGCCTAGGAAGGCAGAAGCCACTAAGATAACCAGAGGCTTGTCTCATCAAATTAGAGAATGCTAGGATTGCCACTCTTTATCTACTGAGTACTTTGGGCTGAGCCCTGCTGGAGGACTCATTAACTACTCCTCTCTTCTTCAGCACCAGGCATAGCACAGACCACTGGACTCCAGACTCCGACTGTGATCTTGAATAAGGTATGTGACTTAGCTGGCCTCTTTTTCCCTTTGTAAAATAGGGATGATAACGCTTCCTAGTGAGGATTCAATGAAATTAGGATGTGCCTGGCGCATACCCAATAAATGTATTTAATCTTGGTATTGTCTTATATTCTACTGGACTTTATGGCTAACAACAGCACCTCGATTTAATCAGTAGTGACTCCTAAGTCCTTTTCTTGAGGCATGGCTAACAACTAAGGATCATCAGAAACCTTTCAAACTCAGGGGAGTCACTTAATCTCTGTGGGCTACAGATGTCTCATCTGAGACAAGAGAAATCTGAACCCGATGATTTCTTGAGGCCCTCCTCCTAGAAAAAGATCTAAGGAAAACCCATCTGCTTCTTTTCTGCCTGCTCATATTTTCTCAAGACATTTTTTCCTACAGGTTACTGCTGGATGTTTCACTACCCAATAGCAATTTTTCTCTTGAAAGATAATCTGTCTTTGCCAGGTATCCAGGAAGGCATTACCCCACTCCTCCACCTGAGTTCTCATTTATTTTAATGCAATTCTTTTTCTCCTTATAAAAATTTAAAATGTAGAGAAGCATTAGGAAATAACCAAAATCTCACCATCTACTACTTGATATTTAGATGTATTTCCTCAGTTTTTTCTTTCAAAATTTGGATCATTTTGTGTATAGAATACAGTTCAGTTAGTATCGTATCATCAGCACTCTTCCATGACCCTAAATATGCCTCAAAAACATGACTTATGCTAGCTTCATAATAATATATTATAAAGGCATAGATTAATTTAACCGATCCCTAATACTTAATTTCCACCTTTTTTACCAATATAAAGTGTTCCTAAGAATGTCCTTGTGCAAAGCTCTTCGGGTGCATCTGGTTATTTTCTTAGGATACATTTCTAGCAGCAGGATTAACAGAGTCAAAGGGTAAGATCTGTTTGGTCATCTGCAAAAAGAACTTTACCACTATTTTAAAAGATGTACTGATTTACACCCCTGGTTCTGGTATTTCTGATGCTAGGTTCAATTTGTACTAGGGTTTTTTACATTTATTTTCAAATAATTTGGCGCTATGCCCAGGTAAATACTTCAGTTTGACTTCACTTTGCACGGTCCCCATGGCAATAAGGAACCTTGTGTCCTTATTCCTTCTGGGTTGGTTTCGCTGGAGGACAGTACTTTTGGGCACAGCTTTAAAAAACGGGACACAGAAGCCACCAGTTCCTGGTGAGCCCGGGGAAGGGTGCGGGGAAGCCCTAATAACGGACACGATGTCCACTCTTCACACAACCAGGCCCTGCCTAAGGGAAAGCTCCCGGGAATCAGGCCATTTTCCAAAACCTACATGTTAAAGATTCCTCGCCACCCACGCCACACCCACTCCGTAAAGTTAGGCCTTTCTACCCAAGAGCACACCCACTTCCGGTCTCGACGCCCTCAACGTCCCTCCCCCTCCGCCCCTGTGCCTCACCTCGAGGACCACTTTGCGCATGCGCCCCAGCTCTTGGAGGTAAGCGGCAGTGTCCGAGTGGTCGCGGTGAATATGCAAGGCCGCAGTGGCTGCGTGACAAGCCTGCGCTACCAATGCGCCCGCCGGCCAGGAGAACGGAGCCTGTGATAGATCCTTTCGTAACACCAAGTATTGTACCAGGACCTGCGGCTCCGCCCTGGAGGCCGCCATCTTCCTGACCACCCGAAAGACCGGACCTACTGCCCGGTGCATGCTGGGATCAGGGAGGGGCTCTGAGTGCCGCCATGATTTTGTACGGCGGGTGCGCAAAGTACGCCGGGATTGATTGGATTAGTTTTGAAGACGAGGACGGCGGGAACTCTCTCTCACTCCTATCCTGGGTGAGCAAGAGGGAAGAAGGTTGGGGGAAGGAAGTCCCAGGGACCCACGGGACCGTGACCAGAGTGGCGGGCTGAACAGCCTTTTAAAACACCTGCTGGACCAAAGGGGCCGTGCCCTCGGGAGCGCACCGGGGGCGGGGAGGTAGGTGTGGACGCAGCAGAGTAGGACCCGGGGAACCGGCAGGCAGGTCAGGGAAGGGGATTGCTAGGGGTGACTCGGGTTATCTGGGGGCCTAGGGGGCGTGCCTGAGTGGTGAGTGCCCTGCCACCTGGGTTTGTCTGAATGGGAATAGATGTGACTTTGTTTCCATTTTATTTTACCAGGAAGGACATCTAGGTCCCTGTTACCACTAGCCTAGACAGCTTCATGGGAAGGCTCTTGGGAATCTGAGGAGATGGAGCAGACGAATACTTTATGCCAAGACGGCGAGTCCAAAGGAGGTAATCAAAGAGTCGCCTATTCCCTATTCCTACTGCTGCCCGAAGATGACCCGCAGGCTGAAAGAACCCTTTCTTCCTGAAAGATGTGTGACCTGTCTTGTTTGGGACCAGAATGGTGAAAGGAACTAACATTGAGAACTTAAAGGGACAGGCAGCCAAGACCATTTGACAAGGAAAAATTACTTTGTTTCTAGGCTGCTGCCCCTTTGGAAACTGATAAGTTGCATTCATAGTATGCTCTGTGTTTATATTTAGAGCTACAGTTCTAGCCAGTGAGATATCTTTCCTCTCATCCCAGGATTTTTTGGGGCCATTTATGCATTTCTCCTGAGGGAGGGCCAGTGTGAGGCAGTGACTTTGGTGTTGGTTAGACCTGGGTTTGAGTCCTGGCTCTGCCATATAAATACTGTGGCCTCGGACAAGTTACTTTACTGTTCTCTGCCTCAATTTCTTCATATGGAAAATGGAGGTGAATAATAGCATTTTTATGGTGGTTTTGGAATTAGATAAGTATTTAACTCTTTCAATGCTTTTCAAGTAAAGCATTTAGCACCTGTCTAATGTATAGGAAGTATTCAATAAATGCTCTAATTCTAAAACATCCAGGACAAGGGTTCAACAAATGCTTTAATATTAGAGTTGATTAGCATTATGAAACTATGACCTTTACAATATTGGTCCTTAGTCAATCCTTTGGCAACTGAGATTTGCCTCTGAATTTCTGTCCAGAAGTAAGATTGCTTTCCTCTTTAATACCCAGGAATATTTGTGGACAGTTCTTGTTATTGTGTGCCTTTATAGTCCTGTGCCACTAATTCTTTTTAGAGCTTTGAAGTACTTATGCAAGTCTGATGTCTCAATCCAAAGGGTTATGCATTAACACTTTGGAAAAGCTTGCATAAAACCCAATTTAAAAAATAATGCTGTAGTTTTAAAAACAATTTCTGAGAGAGTCAGTGAATTTGGTGACCTTATTTTCTTCTGGGTTATTATTATCATTGATAACTGAGAATTAGCTGTATTCAGATAACTGAAGCTGAAACCTTAGATAATCAATAGTATATGGGTTAAGAATTATTGTTACTTCGAGGCTGGAAGTAAGTTTGGTGACTATGTATTAGAAACATGCTACAATCAGAATTTCATGTTGTCTAGTCTACGACTGATTTTGTTTGTTTTAAAATAAGTGATAAGGTCAGTGGAAGTTTTGGATTATCAAGTGGTTTAGACCAGTCAAGGAGTTATTCTACAGCCCCTTTATTCTCTACCCAAAACAATATTTAAACATTTAGCTGTTATTCATACTGGTTTTAGCCCTCTCCTTGTATGATTTTATAATAGCTTTCTGCTTCAGATTCAAATTCTTTCAAAAGTGAGCATTCTGAACTCCCCACTTATTTCAGAGGGGAGGACACGGAATTTTAGTTGCAACCAGTTGATTTCTTCAAATAAGGGTTTTGACCATTTTTGTAACCTTTTTTGGGACAGAACTGACTGGCTGTGATGAAATGCAATCCTGTCTTCCAAGATGAGGCAGGCTCGATAGATAGATTCTCTCTGTTCTCTAGTGGCAACGTTAAATGACATGCTGACATAGTTTTGAATACCTATGTATTTCAGAAACTTTGGGAGCATTAATATCTATTTGTCATAATATAGAATTTATCTTTTTTTGGAGTGACTTGAGAACAGTAATTAACAGTAGGACAATAATTAACAGTCTTAAGTTGTTATTTTTATCATTTTCTTTACAAAGGGAAAAAAAATGGCATGTATAGTGAGTGCCAAGGGAATTTTAGGTCCATAAAGTAGAATTTGACCAAGCATCTCCTGCAACACTTTAATTTAGACCAGGTAGGTGCACTTTCAAAATACCTCCTGGTTGGATGTTAAATAATTTTTGTAAGCTCTGTGAGGACAAGGACTTTCTTTTGCCATTAGAGTATTAATAGTTTTAAGCACAGTCCCTGGTCCATGGTAGATTCTCCATAGTTTTGTTGGATAAATAGAGATTTGTTAATAAGCAATTAATTACATGCTAATTATTAGGACTGGTTTATTATTTAATAAAGATTTTCTTTTTTCATGAATATTATTGCAGTAATACGGACTTTTCTGTAGATATATGCTATGTGAACTTAATCTCTTAAGAGATCATACCTGGTTGTCCATCTTTCAGTAAATATTTTTATAGAGCATTTACCATATGTAAGGCATTGTGCTAGCTTTAGGGATACATGGGTGAACAAAAACATACATGGTACCTGATTTTGGAACTTAAAGATTCAGTGGGAGAGAGAAACAATCAAATAATCCCATTAATTAATATACAATTAAAACTACAATATTTTTTTCTGAAGGAAAATTATACAATTCTTTGAGATCTTACAAAAAGGCACCTGACCTTGTTCTGATGGTGCCACAAAGGTTTCCCTAAGGAAATGCTGCTTGCACCGAGTGCTGATGAGCTCAAATTGAGGTTTTGAAATATGCCTCAGGTGTAGGAGGCTTCTAGGAAACTTGTAATAGGCCAGAGATGATGCTGGCTTGAACCACAGTGGTGGCAGTGCAGATGAGGAGAAGTGGACATATTTCAGAGGTACTAGGACTGTATATTCAGTAGGCTTTGGTAACGAATTGAGGTTGGGGCATGGAGAAAGATGTAAAGAAGATGCTAAATATCTGGCTTACATAACTAGGTAGATGGTTGTTCCAGTGAGTGAGGGCCTTGGAAGGGAAAGATAATGAATTTAGTCTTGGACATGTTGAGTGTCAGTTTCCTCTAAGACTTCCAAGTAGATATACTGAGAAAGCAGGTAGATATTCTCTAAAGTTCAGGAGAGATAAGCTAGAGATACATATTTGTGAGGCATTCACTTATAGATGGTCATTAAGGCTGTGGGTACTGATGAGATTTCTTCAGGAGAAAAAGGGTCTTGGGACTGAGCTTTGGAAAAGTCTAGCATTTAATGGGCAAAGAGAAGAGGATAAGCTTGCAAAGCAGAAAGCGGGGTCAGGCCGGGCGCGGTGGCTCACGCCTGTAATCCTAGCACTCTGGGAGGCCGAGGCGGGTGGATTGTTTGAGCTCAGAAGTTCGAAACCAGCCTGAGCAAGAGCGAGACCTCGTCTCTACCAAAAATAGAAATTAATCGGACAACTAAAAATATATAGAAAAAATTAGCCGGGCATGGTGGCGCATGCCTGTAGTCCTAGCTACTCGGGAGGCTGAGGCAGTAGGATCGCTTGAGCCCAGGAGTTTGAGGTTGCTGTGAGCTAGGCTGACGCCACGGCACTCACTCTAGCCCGGGCAAAAGAGTGAGACTCTGTCTCAAAAAAAAAAAAAGAAAGCGGGGTCAGAGAGGTAAAATGTAAGCTTCCCAAAGGCAAAGTCTTTGTCTCTTGTTCATCATTGTGTTCCCAGTGCCCGAAAGAGAGCTTGGCACAAAATAAGTGCTTAAACATTTATTGAGGAAGGAAAACCAGGAGGTTGGTGTGATAGGATTCAAGGGAAAAGAGTGTTTCAGGAAGGTAGTGATCAGTGGAGTCATGTACTGCTGGGAGGTGAGATGAGGGCGCTTGAAAAATGTCCATTGGATTCAGCAGCATGAACATCGCTGTCGATCTTAGAGTAGTTTTGTAGAATGATGGGAACAGAAGTGAGTTGAGAGTGGGTTGAGGTATGAGTAATTGGTAAGGAAATGGAGAAAGTAAGTATAGGTTGAGCATCAAAAAGCCAGATCTGAAACTTTTTGAGTGCTGACATGACATGCAAAGGAAATGCTCATTTCAGATTTTGAATTTGGGATGCTCAAACTGGTAAGTATAATGCAAATATTCCAAAATCCAAAAAAAAATCGAAAATCTGAAACACTTCTGGTCCCAAGCATTTTGAATAAGGGATACCCAGACTGTGTGGGCAAGTCTTTTAAGTAGTTTGCCCGGAAAGGAAAGGGGAAAAAAGAGGGATGGAAGGCGGAAGGCACGTGTGGACAAGGGTCGGCCTGTGAGTGTGTGTTTGAAGACGAGTGAGACTTGAGCCCGTGGGGAAGGGCACAGCTGAGAGGAAATGATACAGCAGAGAACAGGGATAACGATAATCTAGGTTCCTGAGACGGCAAGAGGGACAGGAGTTGATGCCTAAAACAGGGCAGTTCTGCATGTAGTGGGTGTCTACTTCTGCTTGATCTCACGGAAGTGTTTGTTTTGGGTTTTTTTTTTTCTGGAATATTATCCCTTGCCCCATAAGAAAGTTTAGGTTTTTAGTCTTAATTGGATAGATGAATGAGATAAGTTTTTGGATTCTGTCCCAAGGCAAGGAAAGATTAAGATTTTCATATATGTATATCCTTATGAACCCCCTTACAAAATGGATGCTGGATCTACTTAAGAAACCCAATTAAAGTCTGGTGGTTAAAAGTGTAGAATTTTCATGAGGGAGATTCTGTTTAGTCTGCGATAAAGCCATAAATCATCCTTTTCCACACTAGAGATGTGCATTTGTGATAAACTGTAGGCCTAGATAAAATACTGCGGCCTCATCAGCATATGATAGCCAGTTCATGTTCTCTCTCGTGTTCTCTTTCAATAGTCTCCTGGTCGAGGCAGTTTTTTACATCACTGTTCAACCTCTTTGATTTTAATTATCAGCTCCTCTGATAAATTGGTTTCATAAATTGTGGCGGCTATCTAACAATTCGGCTGGCCACAGAGTTCTTTTTGGAAAAAAGAGTCACCCTACGTTCTTCTCTGAAATGCTTCCCTTTGCCAGAGTTAGAAGTCCCTGGCTTCCTGTGAACTTCCCTTTTTACTTTCCTTAGGTGTCTTAGCTCACTTGGAAAGACTGGAGACTGGAGTGGACAGATCCCGCAAGCAGTGCGAAGAGCTGCAGAGCGCACAGGCGGTGGGAAGTGCTCTTGCAACCAAGATTCATAAACTGAGGTGTCTGCGAGATAAGCTGAGGGCGGAAGTGAAGCAGCGGCAAGCCAGAGTGAGTGGAAGGGTGGTGGTGGCAGGTTTCCCTAGGGTATAAAGAGCGAACATGATCCGAAATTGGCAGCTTTGTAGAATGTGTTTTACTTGTGATTTTACGGGATGGGCTTCAGTCCTTGATCCCTCAAATGATCAAACCTGGGGAGCTGCAGCTAATATCACTGTCACCTGACAATTATCAGGCACTACTGATGGGCCAGGCGAGTTCTTCCCGACAGACAGACTCTTAACCTGCCCTCACAGACATCTAAGCCCATTACCTCAATCGCAGTTTGACTTGAGTTACTGGTTCTTTTGTCATTAGTGACATCTTTTCATAACTCAGACTTAAAACCTTACAGGAAACTTGCGACCCTTCCCTCTTTGCAGTTTTCTCCCTAGCTCAGGTCCAGTCAGCAAGCCCTGTCAAATTTTCCTTTTTTGGTCTTTGCACTTCCTCCCTCCATTGCCATAGCTCAGGTGTTATCCACATACGGGGTAAATATCTATCAAGTGATTTAGATACTGGGATTATTACAGCAGTCTGTTAGTTGGTCTCTCTTCTAGTATTTCTACTTTTCCACTAAATCCTGCACAGCCAAGAAAATGCTTCATGAAACACCACATCATTTCTCTGCTCAGAAACACTCAATAATCATTCATTACTTGTGTAATAAGGTCAGCCTTCCTTCATTTTCTTGTCTTCTCATTAAAGTAAAAAATATATATAAAGTGCACAGATCTGATGAACTTTTTTTTACAAAGTGGGCACAACCAGATAACGACCACACAGATCAAAGGATAGACTATGACCAGTACTCTTTAAGTCCCCCCTTTGCCTCCTCCCAGGCATTTCTCTCCAGGTAACCGCTATTCTGATTTTTGTCACCAGAGGTTGGTTTTACCCATTGTTGAACTTTATGTAAGTGTAAAAAGTATAGATTCTTATGTCTGGCTTCTTTTGTCAAGTGTTATGTCTGTGAAATTCATCTATATCTTGAGTGTAGTGGTCGCTTTTTTTTTTTAATTGCTGTATAGCAATTCCATCTTATGAATATACTGTAATTTATCCATTCTGCTGTTGATGACATTTGGGTTGTTGGGTTATTTCACTTTGGGACAATTATGAATATTGCTTCTCCGAACATTCTTGTTTCTGGCTTTTGGTGTAAAAATATACACTTGTCTGTTAGGTTTATACCTAGTAGAATATCGCTGAGTCATAGGATAATGCATATTAGCTTTCATAAATACTGCCAGTTTTTGAGAGTGATTATACCAGTTTTATATTCCCAGCAGCAGTGTATAAGATTTTTATTATTTCACACTTTACCAATACTTGATGTTGTCCGTTTCAAAAAAATCGTCATTCTGGTGGGAGTATAATAATATCTTACTGTAGATTTAATTTGCATTTGCTTAATAACTAATGATGTTAAGTACCTGTATTGGACACTTGAAAATCTTTTGTTGTGCACTGTACTTTTCAAGGCTTTTGCAAAAATTTTTATTAGGTTGTCTGTCTATTAAATTGTAGAATTCTTTACATATTTTGGATATGAGTTCTTTGTTGGGTATGTGTATTAGAGTCATCCTTAGACTGTGTCTTGCCTTTTTCTCTCTAATGGTGCCTGCGATGGAAGGAAAATCTTTGTTTTATTGAAGTTCAGTTTAGGAATTTATGCTTAGTACTCTTGTTTCCTGTTTAATAAATCTTTGCCTAACTTAAGATCATAACGATGTTCTTCTGTGTTATTTTCTAAAAGTTTTATTGTTTTATCTTTTAGAATTATTATATAATCCATCTATAATTGATTTTTGTGTGTGTTGTATGATAAGAGATCATCCTTCTTTTCTTGTGTTTTTCCAGATGGATATTCAGTTCATCTGGTACCACTTCTTGAAAAGATCACTCTTTTCCCATTCTATTGTAGCAGATCTTTGGGTCCAATGTGGGTCTGTTTCTGGATTGTGTTCTGTTCCATTGATCAATTTGTCCATCTTTGTGCCACTACCAGAGTTGCTTACTGTAAATCTTGACACCTGTAGTATATGTCCTCTTTTTCAGAATTATCTTGCCTATTCTTCACCCCTTGACTTTACCATACATTTGGGAATCAGTCAGTTTTCAAAAATAAACCTCCTGTTTTTATTGGGATGGATTTGAATCTATAGATCAATTTGGGAAGAATTGAAATCTTCAATTGCACTATTGCTTCTTCCAGTCAATGTATATGGTATGTCTTTCTTTTTATTTAGTTCTTCAGTTTTTCTCAGTAATGAATATAATTTTATGTGTGTAGAGGTCTTAAACATCATTCATTATATTTATTCTTATGTATTTAATTTTTCATGATGTTATTGTATATGACAAGGGTCAGCAAACTTTTTCTGTTGAGGGTCAGATATTTTAGGCTTTGTGAGCCATATGGTCTCTGTGGCAACTACTCAACTCTGCTATTAAAGCATGAAAGTAGCCATAAACAATATGTAAAAGAATGATTGTGGTACTTTCCAGTAAAACCTTATTACAAAATCAATGTCTGCCTGGATTGGACCTACAAGCTGCAGTTGATGACCCCTGATATATGGTATTATTGTTTAGAAGTTGTATCTTTTGATATTTGATGCTATTATATAGAAATATATTTGATTTTTGTACATTTACCTTATATGTGGCAATTTTGCTAAATTTTTGCTTCTTCCTTTCCAATCCTTCTAACTTTTATTTATTTATTTATTTATGCATGCATGCATGCATGCATGCCTTATTCCACTGACTAGGATCTCTAGTGTGTTGTTGAGTAGAAACAGTCATAGGGTCAACCTGTTTGTAGTAAATTTTATAGATGTTCTTTATCAGAATAAGAAAATGCTCTTTTATTTCTAGTTAGCTGAGAGTTTTAATGGTGATCAGGTATTACATTTTATCAAATGCTTTTACTGCATTTTTTAATGTGATCATATGGCTTTCTCCCTTATTTTATTTATGTTAATTGGTGTTTGAATGATAAACCACCCTTACATTCTTGCAATAAACCTAATTTGGTTTGATGTATTATCCTTTTTATATAATACTAAATCTGATTTGCTAATAGGACTTTTGCATCTAAATTGATGAGAGAGATTGCCCTATGCTTTTTTTTTTTGTAATCTTGTCAGGTTTGGACATCAAGTTTGTGCTGGTCTCAGAAAGCAGATTGAGATATTTTCCTTTTTTCCTTCTATTCTGTGGAAGAGCTTATATAAAACTGGTGTTATTTTTCCTTACATTTTTATAAAGAATTCCCTGGTAAAGTTCTTTGTGCCTTCTCTGTTGGAAGGTTTTAAATTTCTGACCCAATTTCTTTTTTGGGGGGTGGGGGAGACAGGATCTTGCTCTGTTGCCTGGGCTAGAGTGCGGTGGTGTCGTCGTAGCTCACTACAACCTCAGACTCCTGGGCTAAAGTGATCATCCTGCCTCAGCCTCTCAAGTAGCTGGGACTAGCAGGCACGCACCACCGCACCCGGCTAATTTTTAAATTTTTTGTAGAGATGGGGGTCTCACTCTGGCTCAGGCCAGTCTCAAACTCCTGGCCTCAAACAGTCCTCTCACCTTGGTCTCCCAAAATGCTAGGTTTGCAGGTGTGAGCCACCATGCCCAGCCTTGGTCCAATTTCTTTGATCAATATAAAACTGTTCAGATTTCCTATTTCTTCTTGGGTCACTTTGGAAAAGTAACATTTTTCAAAGAGTTTATCCATTTTATGTAAACTCTCACATTTAAAGTTGTCTGAAACTTTTTTAAACAACTTACTGTCTTATGAATCAGATCAATCAGTAATGTCTCATTTTTCATTCTGATACTGGTAATTTGTACTTGCTCTTATTCTTTCCCCTTGATCAGTCTTGTTCACATTTCATCACTTTTGTGCCTTTTTCAAAGAACCAACTTTTGGCTTTGTTGATTTTTCCCTATTGTTCATTTGTTCTGTGTTTTCACTGCTTTCTACTCATTATTATTTCCTTCTCTTTTTTCTTGTTGAGACAGGGTCTCGCTCTGTTGCCCAGGCTGGAGTGCAGTGCCGTGATCATAGCTCACTGCAGCCTCAAACTCCTGGGCTCAAAATGATCCTCTTGCCTCACCCTCCTGAGTAGTATGAGCCACCTGGCTAATTTTTTTTTTTTTTTTTAGAGATAGGCTCTTATTGTGTTGCCCAGGCTGGCCTCAAACGGTCTCAAACTCCTGGCTCCCAAAGTGCTGGGATTATAGGCATGAGCCACTGTGCCCAGTGTCCTTCCTTTTACTCTCTTTGGATCTAAGTTGCTGTTCTTTTAGCTTCTTGAGATGAATATTTATTGATAGTTTTTAGTCGTCTTTTCTCTTGTATGCATTTAAAGTTATAAATTTTCCCTCTAGGCATGGCTTTGGCTGTATATCCCAGAAGTTTGATATGTTATATTTTCATTATTTCAATTCAAAATATTTTCAGTTTTCATTGTGATATCTTCTTTGCCCGTGGATTTGTTTCAGAAATGTATCACTTCCAAAAATTGGGGTGTTTGTTGTTTTAAGTTATTGATTTATGGCTTAATTCCATGTGGTCAGAGACCATGACACCCCACATGTGGTTGGTTTTGGTAAATGTTCCATGTGCATTAAATGGGTTTTGCGGTTGTTGGGTACTGTATTTTATATATATCAAATAGACCAAGTGTGTTCATGTTTCAGATAGTTTATATCCTTACTGACTTACTTGTCTACTTGTTTTATTAGTTACTGAGATTTGTTAAAATCTCCCACAGTGGTTATAAATCTGTTTTTTCCCTTTTATTCTGTGTTTCTGTGTATATTGGGTGCAAACAAATTTAGGATTACTATATTTTCCTGGCTTAGTTAACTTTTTATTATTAAGAAATGTTCCTTTTATTTTTAGTTAAACTGCTTGTCTTAAAGTCTACTTTGGCAAATGCTAGTACAACCTTTTTTTTGGCTAGGGTTTGCACGGTAAATTTTATCTATCATTCTACTCTCAATCTTTCAATGCCCTTATAGTTAAGGTATTCCTATTTTAAGTAGCATGTGGTTAGATATTTTTTATCCAGCCTGGCAATCTTTGCCTTTTAATTGGAACATTTAGTCCATGAAATTTTATTATGACTGCTTATATATTTGGATCTCAGTCTACCATGGTATTATTTTAGTGTCTTACTTGTTTTGTACAGCCAGTGTTCCTTTAGGGTTATACACATTGTTCCCTTCCAGTGCTCTGTATTACTTGCTGCGTTTCCGTATTTCCATCTGGGGTTACGTTACTTCCAAGAAGTAGCTCTTTTTGGTACAGTAAATTCTGTTTTCGTTTGTCTGAAAACACCTTTATTTCATTATGTTTTTTTATTTTTTAAGGATATTTTTACTGGGGTGTAGAGTTACAGATTGGAAGTTATTTTTTTTCCAAACATTTAAATATATCATTCTGTTGTCTTCTAGGGCCATAGTTTCTGTCAGGTGTTAGGTGTTAGCCTTAATGTTTGACTATAATGTGTCTTTTTTCCCCTCAGGCTTCTTTTAAGATTTTCTCTGTTTTTGGTTTTCAGCAGTTTTATAACATAATGTAACTGGGCATAATTTTCTTTGTTTATTCTGCTTGGTGCTTGTAGAGCTTAAATTAATTACTTGATGTTTTTCATGTCTTTTGGAAAATTGGCTGTATTTCTTCAAATAGTGCATATATCTCGTTCTTCTATTTCTGAGGCTCCCAGGCATGGTGGCTTTTTTTTCCTTCCCCAGGGACCTATGTCTTTACTGCTTTTCCTAATCTTATTTTTCTCTATGTGCTTTAATCTGGATGTGAAAATATACCTATTTACCACTTCACTTATGATCTTGTCTAGTTGGCTTTTAAATCTATTAAAATCCTAATTTTAGTTACTGTATTTTTTGGTTCTAGGATTTCCATCTGATTCTTTTTTATAGAATCTATCTCTTTAGTATCAGTTCCCTGTCTTTTAACCTGTTTTAATTGCCATGCCCAGTAAATAAAATAGCTGAATCCCCTTGGATCTTTCTGTTTCTATTGTCTTCTTTTTCCTCTTGGTTTTCAGTCATCTGTTTCCTGGTATACCTGATAATTTTTTTGATTGTATGATGGGTATTGTGTATGAACAAATATAGGAATTCTGAGTTATGTTATCTTTCTCCAGGGGGAATTTTAGTTTTTTTCTGGCATGCAGATAGCATGTGGGCATATCACTTTAATCCAAATGAGGTGGTCTGTTTCCAGTTTGTCCTTACTCCTAGGGTGTAGCTTTTTTTTAGGGCCCTTAATTGAAAGTTTGGGTGTATGTCAGGGACAGGTCTATTAAAGCTCTTCTTCCTTGGCAGGCCCTGACCTCCAAATTTTGCTCTGACAAAAGCTCTGCTTAGTTTTTTAACCTTTCGCAACTTCTTTCTGTTTGGGTTTCTCAGTACCCAGTCACCCATTTGCAGGTTAGAAATTACCAAATACCTGGAGAGCAAATTGCATTCAAAATGTTGGCCAAGTTCCTTTTTTGTGGGATCTTGGTCCACAGAAAGGCTGCTTTGATAACATTTATGTCCAGTGTTTGTCTCCCCAGATAATGAGACTGCTACAGAGCGTAGCCTACAGCTTTCTATCGGGCCCATGTGCCTTGGGTATGAACACGCAAATGCTGAGGGGAAAGCCTGCAGAGAAAGCCAGCTAACTTCAGAGCATTTATCTTTATTCTTCAAACTTGGCTATTTGGGTTGTTCTTTAATGCTTTCAAACCATTTTTCTATCTCTTTGCTTGCCTCCTCATTTATTTTTGGTATTTTATCAAGTTTGCATGGTTGTTCAGAGAGGGAGGGTCAGCTATCTGCTGGGCCATAGTTAGAAGAGTCAGTCTAGCCCTGGCACTGAAGCCCTGCACCATCCTACCTGGGTCAGCTTTCCCAGCCTCGCCTCTTCACGGCCATCTGTTTTGCTCATGTTCATCCTAGACTTTCCTTACACCCTTGTCTTCCTCCTTTCACACTCCTCCCTTTTCCTGCCAAAATTTGAATTATTCTTCAGGCCAACAGAGTTTCTACTGATTCCTAACAATGTGACCCATAAGATTCTTCCTCGGGTGTGAATTAATTCATAGCACTAACTGACCAGCCACTGTTGCATTTCTTGATGTATTACAATATGTAAAATACTCTGTATTTAGCTTTTATCCAGTTGGGTGAGGGCAGGGACTTTGTGGTGTACCCTTTTGTACCCAGTTTGATTTGTTGCACATCTTGCAGGTTAAAGCATCTATTGCCAATGTAGAACCTGCCCAAACAGTGGAAATCAGTGAACAAGAAGTTTTGGAAAAGAAACAGGAAAATGTGAAAGCCATTTTGCAGGCATATCGTTTTACAGGTTTGATTTTTTTTTTTTTTTTAAACCTAATTCAATCTGGGTTTCTGTCTCTGGTGAGTTAGTTTGCTACATGTATTATTAGTTTTGGACTAATTTCATGAGAATGTATTTTGCAGCCCCCACCCTTGTCTCTCTCTCTCTCTCTCTCTCTCTCTCTCTCACACACACACACATGCACGCTAGTTGTAGGCATGTCTTCACCTACAAGATTGGCCTCTTTGTACAGCAGAAGATTGGTTGGTGGCTGGCTTAGACCATTCTTTTTTAGCAATTCATTGTGTGCCAGACTCTGCATTAGAACTTCCTTTACTGTTGGCTTGCTCTACGCCACTAGTCAAATAGTTTGAACCCCTCAAGTCTCTGTTTCACCATAAATAAGAATTTATTCTCCCATCTATGTCAAAAGAGGATTATGGAAAGAACTGTCATAAATTACTTTGATACTCAGGAAAAAAAGAACAGAATAGCTACACTGGAAATTTCAAAATTTCTTTCTCAATAATTTGGCCTTTAGGATGTCTTTTCTTTTCCATCCTTCTTCCATAGTTTAAACAACCCAATCTCAAAGTGAGCTAGAGAAAGAGCCTATGATCTTCATCCATTCAGCAAACATTTGTGCACATGGTGTGTATCTACTAGCACTGTGGAGGCGACTGGGATGCATAGATGAATTAAGACATTACCTTTGCCTGACATCTGTTGAGAGGTATTGTCTTATTGTTTGCCTCAGGGCTCAGTGGTAAACTGACCAGCCGAGGAGTCTGTGTCTGCATCAGTACTGCTTTTGAGGGGAACCTGTTGGATTCCTATTTTGTGGACCTTGTCATACAGAAGCCACTCCAGATACATCACCATTCGGTCCCAGTCTTCATTCCTCTGGAAGAAATAGCTGCAAAATACTTACAGACTGATATTCAGCACTTCCTGTTCACTCTCTGCGAGTATTTAAGTGCTTACTCTGGGAGGAAGTACCAGGCGGATCAACTTCAGGTATCTGTCTGTGATGCTATATACCCCACTTTATGAGCCCAAGGTATACTTAAAAGGGAGAAACAGGGGTGTTTTCTTTTGTATTTTAAATGTTCCCTAGCCAGAAGTTGGACCTTTCTAATGTTTGTTTTTTATTAACATACGAGCTATTTTCCACGCTCTTCTTACCCTTTTGAACCTCTGGATGATGTTGAACCATAGGTACTGGTCAAAGGATTATGTACTCGAATGGTGGTTCCTCAAATTTTATTACAAAGTTGTAGAATGTAGTTGCTAGACTTTAATTTGACAATGATTTATTGAGTATCTACTAATGCCAAGTGCCTTCCTGAACCTTGGGAATAGATGCAAGCAGGAGAATAATGGGTTCTGAAGTACATTGAGGAATACTATCTATCCTCCCCTAAACTCTGGCCTACCTTCTTAGTGCTGCAGTTGAGCTAAGGTTGGGGTGAAAAAAGTAGATAGGAAATGAATGCAAATAGGCAGTAAGTGGGCTCTTATAAGCTTAGCATTTCTCCCTTTATGTATCTGGAATGACTGTGAAGCTTCCAGTTGTAGGTTAAACTTAAATTGATATGTGAATGCAGACATGAAGCATCTTAGCCATATATAGTAATGTCAATGAAATTCTTGGCAGAAACAGTATCTCACCTCCATCGGCACCCCTGGCCATTTAGGAAGTGCTTCCTGCAGGCCTTTCTAGGCTGCCAGTGACTAAGTTATAAGTCTCTTTTATTAGTTTTTTTTCAGGCCTTTTTCTGTCCCTCATTTCTTTCTCTGAAATACAATTTGTGGTCCGTTTTTGGTAGATATATTTGACGTGCTGTAACCATGCCTTTGCAGTGGTAATGATCCTATACTTTGTTTTGTTCCTCACCCCTCTTAGAGTGACTTTGCAGCCTTTCTCGTTGGGCCCTTGCAGAGAAACTCACTGTGCAACTTGCTGTCATTTACTTACAAAGTGGATCCAAGGGATCAGGCTTTCCTGTTTTGTGCTAGATTGCTGTATAAGGACCTCACAGTAACTCTTCCAACTGATGTCACCGTTACATGTCAAGGTAAGAGGAAGGATGCCTTAGTGAAGAAATTATAATGTGCTCTGGTTTGTTCAAGTTGAATGAAACAGGTAAAATAGGTAGAACACATCAAGTGGACTTCTTGATACTTTATGTACTATAAGTTTACTCAGACTGTAAGATACAAAGACTATTTTATTTCTACCAATCTTTCTTTTCCTCTTTGTAAATTGCAAGCATAATTATTCCAGTTTTCCCTCCTCCTTTGCCCTATCCAACTCTGCCAGTGTTCTGTTCTTTTAGCTTGTGATTTGATTTCACTGGAGACCCCTGCTTGAAGAAGGACAACTAGTAGTAAGTTTGTGTCCTAGGGTCATTTATGGTGAATGGAGCTAAGCCTCATTTCACTGTGAAGCCAGATAGACATGACGAATCAGTGTATACTTAGCTTTCTACAGAGTGTTCTCTAAATGGAAAATTTTCAGGGCTGGCCAAGAGAGACATTTTTTTGTGAACCTTTTTCAGCTAAATGTCCATAATAAAATGACATGGGCAATAATGAAAAATTGGGTAAGATGTTTTTAGGAGGCAGACACGTTGAAGCTGCCACAGGTTTCAAAGGTTTTTTTCTGTGAGCAGTCTAAGTCCAAGTCCCTAGTCTCAAAATTACATTCATCCAATAAAAGGCAGCCTCTCTCACAGTCCAGACCAAAAAATAAAAGTTAGATCCGTCTAGAATATCAGTGATGCAAGTTCCAGTTCCCCTGGTTGAACTAAATGAGACTGATTGATAGACTTTCTTTTTTAGGAACAGAAGCATTATCCACCTCCTGGGAAGAACAGCGAGCAGCCCATGAAATTCTGTTCTGTACAAAACCCCTTCATCAAGTGTTTTCTTCATTTGCAAAAAAAAGAGAGATGCTGAATATGAGCCTGGTCTCCTAAAATATTTTTTTCACTGGAACACATCAGAAGTGAGTAAACTGGTACTACTGACAGCCTTGCCTGGGAATCATCCTTGTAATGTGAACAGACAGCTACTACTACACCAGGATGAGGATTATATTTGAGTACAGACATTGGCATTTTGGGACAATTCCCACGATAGCCTGGTCACTTGTTAAAATGCCTAAAGTCATCTGGGTTGAGGTATTGAATGATTCATTCATACATGTTACTGAAAATCAGAATGGTTTGTGGGCTGACAGAAGACATTTTGTGGAAGAGAGAGGTGTATCATTCACTTAACAGTATTTCTAGCTTTTCTGGAAGCTTTAAGTAATTCTGCCTCATTTTCCTGTTCTGAGAGTTTTGAAAAGAAGTTCTTAGAACACTCCAGGTTCATGATAATGAGGTAGATCATATAGTTAAGAAGGGACGTGTGTTTAATCTTTGGAGCAACGTATTCGATCTAGGCCACTGTTTTATACATAATATGGTATGAGAAAGCAATGTGGATAAAGTGATCGGGTTTCAGTGTAGCTAATAGTTTCCTAAAACAAACATTTCAGTAGAGTGCTGAACTTATCAAGTCCCTTGTGAAAAAGCATGGTTGGAAATATGCCCATAAACTTAGTTACTGTTGCAAAAGGAGATAGGCCTTCCCCTCTTGACGTCTTCCCTGTCCCAGTCTGTTTAGTGAACTGTTTCTCCCTGTAACCACGGCCTCCGATCTGCTGGCACTTCTTGTTCCTTGGTTTATGGGTCAGTTCACAGATGCAAAAACCTGTGTGTTTGGCTGGCCGCCTTCTCCCATTTCAATTCCTGTCCCTCCCTTGCCCAGTCACAGGAGTGATCGTTACTACTACTGCCCAAGGCCCAGAGCTACATTCAGGCTTCACTCTGAAATGGTCACTTCCTAGACTATGGTCAGGAAGTAACCTCCATGTGTGCAAGCTCCAGTGAACTCTGGGGGGAGTGTAGCAACTCGGACCCCTCTTTATACAATAGCAGCTTAAGAATAAAAGTGGTGTCTTAGTTCAAGCTCTTGCCTTCCAGGCATGTGGTAAGGACCAGTGGCAGGAGTTAGTTAGCAAAGCACTTCTAGCCCTTCTCAGATAAGAGATATTAACAGAATTTTCACAATGATCAAGTTGAATAAAGCTTTTAATAAAACAGTCTTGTTCTTTATCAATACCTGTAAATTCTCTTTTAAAGCAGTAGCAAAGGCGACTGTAGCAAGAGCTCAAAAGGCAAGGCAATATCGGAAAGTGTTTTTAAACAGAAGGTTAAAAATATAAATGTAGAAGATCTGTTTATATATTTTTCTTTCAGAAATAAATTCCCCTCCCCCCACCAGGTGAAAGGAAATATTGCACTTTCTGCTCTCATGACTAAGGTGACAGGGGTTCCAGAAGAACCTTTCAAGATTATCAGGAACATCAGGACGAGGGCCATTTCACCTCATCAGACCACGCGGAGACAACCAGGTCCCCAGCGTCGCTCTCTCCGGAGTGCAAAGCACTGCTTGCAAGTTCCAGCTGGGAGCAGAGCGTCTCCAGCACAGCGTCCCGCCCCACCTGAAGCAGAGCGTCCTCACCGTGCGCCCAGCCCAGCGGCAAAGGCGGCTTGCTCCACCTCTCCCGCGCTCCTGCTCGCAGTGGCCAGGGCCTCTCTGGGGCAAGCAGGGCTGGGTTGGAACGAGGGCTCTGAAAGGATTGTTCCAGTACTACGCCTAAGACCCCTGCTCGGGGGACACTACAGGCACACTGAGGAGTAGTATGGCTGCCCTCAGAGCTCACATATCCACAAACAAATGAAGGCTTGAGGAGATTTTTAAACCTAAAGTCTACGTGAGTGTGCACTTCAACAATTCAGGAATGTCGGGACTTGGTAATTTGTCCTGTCCCAAGGCCTTTCTTTGATTAAAAAAAAATAAATTCTCCCTTCCCGTTTGGATTGTTGTGGGACCTCAGGAGTTGTCTACCACCTGGTGCGGCAGTGTGACAGAGGAGCCGTTGGGGAAGGCGGCTGGCTTGTCCCGTCCCTTCAAGAAAAAGGTCAGCAGCTCCCCCTTCCCCTTCACGAAGATGGGGCCTCGCCTCACAAAGCGGAAGCCGTATTCTCGAAGGATGACTTGTGTTTCTTCCACCACCTGTGGCAGGAGAACAGAGCGGGAGGCCTTGAGGTTAGAGGGTAGCCATAGGGGTCTTGGGTGGTTGGAGCTGAGTGCTGATCCAGATGGCGCTAACCCCTGCATACCCACAGGTCCCAGGTGGCACTAGGCCCTGGCACTCTCCCCCAAACCTCCCAGGGCCAGGCCCTTCATTCTGCCCCCAGTGAGCGGTGGGTAAGAGCAGGAGGACATTGGGTGATCTGTGCGGAGCCCTCCATTCTCCCAAAGAGTCTTTATCCTTTCTCTCCTCTAGGGACAGCCGCAGGTTGCCTGTGTGGTGGCACTACTCTCTGGGAACTTTTACTCCCTGTTCCTCTCTCCCTTTGCTCCTTTTGTGGAGCTTTCCTGCCAGACCCAGCTGATACAGATGAGGATTGCTTCAGGGACAGCTGCTATAGGCACAAAAAGTTGTTTATACCAAGAAGCAAGCTGTTCTCATCCAGAACTTAAACCTAAATTTCGCAAATGGGTTGAAGCATCTTCTCCCTTCTCGATACTAGCTGTAGTGGAGACCGCTTCCTGCTCCTGCCCTGAATCTCACAGCATTGCTCACTTCCTGTTCTGGACCAGGTGGAAGCGGCACTAGTGCGTAGCAACGAATTATTCCGATCTTGTTCCCATTTCGAGTCTGAGCACTGCGCAGCCCTGTGGCTGGACTTACCTGAATGTTGCCCATGACTCCTGTGGACTCCATCCTGCTGGCCACGTTAACCGTGTTGCCCCAGATGTCATAGTGTGGTTTCCGGGCTCCAATGACCCCAGCCAAAACCCCTCCTTTGTTCATGCCTGGGGTAGAGGCATAAAGTTAGTACAGCCACATGCCAAATCTTGTCATCATCCTTTCTCAGAAGCTACCACAACTCTTCTACAGAATTTGTCACCTGACTCCTACCACAAAGCTCCTAATTATATAATACGTCATATTCTTTGTTAAACTTGTCTACGTTACTGGAGGGCAGAAATCGTGTCTCCCATTTATCCTGTCCTTGCCATGTGCTTGGCAATCGTGTGCTAACTGACGTAGCACGGCAGTGGCCGGCTTCGCTAACACACCTGGTGTTTCAAGTCTCCTACAACCTCACCCACAAGGAATGAGACCCTCCCAGTAGGGGGAAGCTGGTGACGTTAACTCCTTTCAATGGGCAGGCTGGTCTGAGAAGAGCCAGGCCCTCAGCAGGCACAGAAGCCCCCTTGGAAAGGCAGGTAACACGGTGACTTCTCTGCCAGATTCAGAAGGCAGGCCAGGCTACCACTGTAAACAAGCAGGGACAGGTACGGCTTGACCATTTCATCAGTTGGATTTTTCAGCTAGATCATCTAAAGAGACCGGACTGAAGGTCCTTCAGTTCCCTTCCAGCTCTGAGTGTGAACCTCCCCAATCCAGATGCCTCAGGTCTTCCTGCAGATTTGCTGGGTCCCTGTATCAGAAGGGAGACACGAAACCTGGCACCCTCACCTATGCGCAGCATGAAGTTGTTGAAGGACTGGTTGTTGATGTTTGTAAGTGTGTCCTTCATGGCGAGTGCAAAGTCGGCCAGGTCGGCCAGGTGCTGCCAGCGCTCCTTGTCGGACTTGTCCTCCTGTGCCAGAGGGTAGCAGAGAATGTGTCGGGAGCAGTCCAGGCCTGTAACTGCAGTAGCCTGATCACCTGCCTCCTTCCCTTAGCGGCATTCTGGGGGTGGATCCCTACACCTAGCTATTTAAAGCCTTATTTCCTTCCTGTCACAAAGGAGTTGTTTAGCTCCAACCTGTCACTGTGACAAAGTTCACGTGCGTCCCTCTAACAGGTCTAGGGCAGACTGGGCAACAGTGGAAGACAAACCCTATTGGTATCTGCCATGCGTCTCATCGTGGGACAGCTCTCTTCACTACCTTATCTGAGCCTGGTCATTACAATTTCTGAAGTTGTCCGTGTTTGGATCCTTCAACTAGGCAATTAAGTAAGCACTTGAGGATGATGACCTGCCTTTGACATGTTTCTTTAACGTCACACATAGAGCAGAGGGGGCAGTAGTACTGACAGCAGAAGATAGCTGTAAAGGTGAAAGAGGATAGTGATATTCTAACAACAGTGCTTGGGGCCAGGTGCGCTGGCTCATGCCTGTAATCCCAGTGCTTTGGGAGGCCAAGGTGGGAGGATCACTTGAGGCCAGGAGTTTGAGACCAGCCTGGGCAATATAGTGAGACCCCATCTCTAGAAAAAAATTTTGAAAAACTAGCCAAGTGTGGTGGCATGTGCCCCTAGTCCCAGCTACAAGAGGCTGAGCCAGGAGGATCGCTTAAATTCAGGAGTTCAAGGTTACAGTGAGCTATGATCACACCACTGCACTCCTGCCTGGGTGACAGAGCAAAACCAGTCTCTTAGAAAACAAGAAAACAAAAACAAAACTCAGTACTTGGGACCAGGGCCCCTACAGCTCATTTCCTCTCCTGGTAGCTAAACACTGACTCACGGGGCTCACCTCTGAACTTTCATCACTGCGCAATTGCGTAGACGGCTCCTGCGCCCCAGTTCTTACGAAAGCACAGAGCCTTGAGGGGGCTGTCCACAGTGCTCATGCATCACATTAGGCCTAAGCTGTAGTACACTGATGGGGTTTATGTGTGTTCTTCTGTTTTCCTGCTCACTAAACTTTCTCAGTAAGCCCTATTTCATAATATATCTATTTATGGTTATATGGTGCTGGTGGTGTGTGTCTGACCCCTTGGCACAACAGCACTCAACTTCTCTTTTGCTCTTGTAACCTCGCATTTCCCATATGCTAGGTCTGGGGGGGCCAATCTCCTGCCTTGGGGCAGAGCCTCATCTCCTCTCTGGACACTGTGGTGGGCAGCTACCTTGCTGGAGCTGGTAAAGCCATTGGTGTTGACGTCTGGGGTGACTCCTGAAGCTGCCATGTAGGTGCTGCCAATGGTTTTGATCTTGGTGATGACTCGGAATTTGGGATTGTCCAGGAGCTAAGACCAGGATTAAAGAAAGAATTGTCAGCAGAGTCAAGGCAGATGAGTGAGCCAACTAAATGACAGATATAAGGACCCCACAAAACATCCAAGAGTCACAGAGATGCTTTCCTATAAAAGCTTTTATTTACTCCACTGCGTATCTGCCACATGATCCTGGGCAAACTTCCTCACTTTCTGAGTTTAGTTTCCACAACCTTAACATTGAGATAAAAGTGCCAGCCTCCTAGGGTGGTTGAACACATATATAAAAGCATTTTCCTTAATAAACAAACTACCCAATAGATGTTTACTGACTCTGAATTTGAGGGTAGGAGGAATCAGAGGGGCCCTCAGGATCTTGTTTGGCCAGTCCTTATCCTGTGACCTTGCAGGTGACTTCCCAGGCTCCCACCTCCCGGCCGTGGACCCCACAGTTACAGATGGCTGCAGAAGTCCGTATGTTACAGGAGGACCTTATCTGGGAAAATGTAGCCTGTCTAGGGTGTCTAGAACTCTTAGGCTTCTGCAGCCTGTCCCAGGATGTAATCTGCAACAGGCCACCTCTGTGCAGGAGGAGGGGGCAGGACGGGCACTCACGGAGTCAAAATCCGAGATGATCTCATTGAGGAAGCGCAGACACTCAATGCCACCATTATTGATGCTCTCCTCTGTGTAGAAGTCAGCAAAGTTGGGCAGGGAGGCAAACATGACTCCAATCTCATCATACGACTGGCTGTACAGCTCCTAAAAAGAGGCAGGGCCAAAGTGCTCAGTGTCCAACTGACTGCATGATGTTCCCTCGCTTTCACCGTGGTTGCCATTTAGGTTCAACCCTGCCGCAATCCCCTCACAAGGAGGCCTGGCCCAGAGAAAGAGCAGACGAAGACCAATGGCCTCCTGTTTCCAGGCTGCACTTGGGCCACACCCCTCACCTCATCTCTCTTCTTGGACCCCAGGAAATGGCGTGCCACATGTTCGGGCAACATGTTGGTGACCAAGGCCTCATTCCAGCGTCGCATTTCATAGACACGTTCCTTCTGGTCGTGGACCTCGATCTTCCACAAGAATAACGTCCGTGCCAGTTTCTCCACCTGCGGACACAGACAAGGCAAGGTGTGTGCTCTAAGCTGGTCACTGAATGGAGAGATGAAAAACAACTTGCATGGAGGGGCTGCACATGGAAAAACTGGAAGGGAGACGGCTGAACAGCAAGGGAAGTAAGACCCTGAAGGAATTCGCCTGATCAGAAACGCCACCCTACAGCTGCAGTGAGGACGCCAGCCTCTGTGGTTACAGCGGAGATCCAAGAGGCCTTCCATATGGGAGGGGCCTCCTGGGACCTAATTTTAGCTAGGGGTCTGTCCTGCGGAGGTGGCAGCAGTGGGGATCTCCCACCCCAGCGTGGAGTCCCCGTTTCTGGCAGGCTCCATTTGGCTGAGAAGTGACTTGGGGAGGCTGTACTTTCCCTGGAAAACCACTAGGGGGCACTTGAGCCAACAAGGAGCCATAAGGCCCTCGTACGGGATCTTTTGCCACCCTCTTTCCCTCCCTTTTCTTTTCCTTTTAACCAGACGAAAACTTCATCATCTCCCTTCCCTTCCTCTTCTGGCTCCACGGCCACTGTGTCAGTGACCCCCAGCGCCAGGTGAGTGCAGAGGCTGTGAGCCCTGGCCTGGGGAGCGGATTTTACCAGGCTTTTGTGCCAGCACTGCTTCCTCTCCCCACGCCCCCCCCACCGCCGCCTCATGCTTCCTTCAGCATCCTGGAGGTCAGAGGAGGAGGCACAGAAGTGTTTTCCTTGTGTTAATCACGGAGGAAGAAACCAGAATACAGAGCAGGTGGTGGCTTGACCAGGGTCAGGCGCCGTGTTGGGTAAAGGGAACCAGCGTTCCTTAAAGGCTCGGGCTCTTGGCTGCCGTGAGCGCAGGAGGAAAGGAGGGCGGGGCACTCACGTGGCGGGAGAAGTAGTAAAAGCTCAGCGTCATGATGAGCATCATCGCTGTCATCGAGTACTTGGAAGGCACCAGCGGCAGCCTGCCGAGCAGAGAGGGGAGCAAGGGAGAGACTGCCTGTGCCGCCCTCCTGCGAGGCAGTTTGTCCCTCTGACTGGCGCTGCTGCTTCTGTCACCCCGGGCCCTTCCACATCGAGTCCAGGCCCCCAGGCAGTAAAACTTTCTTACATCATCGGGCTCCCGTCTGACAGCCAACCAACCCGGCCCCTCCCGCTACACTGGGTGTTCGCATCAGAGCTGCTCCCCAGGTTAGTAGACGCTGCATCGCCTGACCAGGCACAGAAGCTGTTACCGTGTAGGAATTTGGAGAAATAAGAAACATGGGACTAGGGTACAATTTCACCATGGTGTTTCATAACTTTCATCCATTTTTTCATGTGGAGCTATAGTTAATTTCCATCACTGTATAGTATTCTAGTGTATGGATATACCCCGGTTTATATATCCATTTGCTGTTGATGTCATTTGGGTTGTTTTTATTTATTTTTTGGGGGGAAGTGTCTACTGTGAACAACGCTGCTATGGACATTCTTGTACTTATATCGTGGGGCATATATATGATACGTGCATGAATTTCTCTAAGGTACAGGTATCTGTAGGAGTAGAATTGCTGGGACATAGCTCTATTTTCAATTTTACTAAATAACTTCAAATTTTTTCTAATGTGGTTGTACCAATCTGTACCCCCACCTGGAGGGTGTGAGGTACCACTGTACTTGATACTGTCAGACTCTAATTTTTGCCAAAACTTCCCTGAAGGTCCATTCAAGTCACTGAATCATAAAATGCTAAAACCTTAGCTCTGGAAGGGACCTTAGGGAACTTCCAGTTCAGTACAAGACTCGGGAAAGCTGAGCTGCCTGTGACCCCAGAGCATTCAGTAACTGCTGCAGGGTTAGAATCCAGATCTTCTAACTCCAAAGTGTGTTCTTTCCTCCCCATCTTCCTGCTACCTGTCTGCCCTGCCAGCCCATTAAATGCAGCCATCATCCACCTGGCAGTTCCTTCTCACTTCTCCATCTGGCCCTGTATCCCACCCTCCACACCCTGCTGCCGCTGCTGCAAGCTTCACTGTCCCTGATGCAGCAGCAGCCCGGATTTCCAGGTCCATACTGGAATCCTGCCTCTGCTGCGGCCTCCTAGAGAAACATGTGCCAGATCACGTGCCTTTGGGAGGGAGAGATCACGGGGCTTTGGCCTGTTGTATTCCATCTCTGGAAGGTCCCCGAATGCACACCAGGAGGGGAAAGGAGCCCTTACCTGTCAGTGCCATTGAGCCCAGGGGTGGAGAAGACCCGCATCTTCTCCGAGGCGATCACGGAAAAGCTGTTGGACAGACAGTAGCATGCTCAGGCCCCATCTGGGTACAAGAGCCACACACGGAGGTACCCCCCATCTTCCACTCGTGGAGAATGGAAAAGATCTATCCCCAGATCCCAGCCAACTTGGGACATGTCTGGGAGAATCCGTGCACCCAGGTTCTTTTACAAGCCTTTGATGACCCCCAGAGGCAGAAAGCCAACTCGGTGCAGGCCCATGACCTTGAAATGGGGACTTGCGGGGTGGGAGGAAGAAGACAATACAGACCCCTCATCTGGCTTCATCTTACCTGTGTTCCTGAAAGCGTCTGTGGTCATAGTCATCAAAGATGGGGCGCCAGGCATAGAGGTTGATGGTGGCCACAGCGCCTGTGACGAGTAGCATGAGTGTGAGCTTCACCATGTGGCTGACCTGCACCAGCATGATGGTGGCGATGAGGGACAGCACGGCGACGTAGTTGTAATACTTGGGGTTCTCCAGGCAGCCGCCCTCCACCTCCATCCCCGCCGTCCCGTTGCTGGGTCCCGTGTAGTACTGGAGACAGCTCAGCTGGGGGCCAGGACGGGCGGGAGGGAAACGCGTGCAAGGGAACAGAAATGCTGGTCAGAGAGGGCTGTGCCGGGACAGTGAACATTCAGCTGCCAACTCCCACGGCTCCCTCAGAAACACCAAAAAAGACGGGAAGATTTACCAGGAAATAAGCATTCAGAAGTTAGCAATTGCTACTAAGCTTTACCATCATCTCGTGATGTTCACAAAAATTCTCTATTTTTAGTACCGCCCCTATTGTATAGAAAATTCAGAGGCCAGACTTGCCAAGAGCAGCACAACCAGCAGGCAGTAAAGCCAGAACTAGGAGCCAAGCCTTTAGGCTCCAAATCCAACTGCTCTTCCCTCCCCACATCACACTGCTGCTGCGGGGCCAGCCAGCCCCCACTCACGGCTCCTGGGCTGACTGCCAGTCTCTGCTCCAACACTTGCATTTGGGGGACACGCACTACCTTTTGGGGTCTGATCACTGGTTCCACTGCTGGGCAGACATAGTCAGTAGAAAGTACATCCGTCAGCTGAATCAATCCTACTTTTCTGTACCTTTCACCCACTGGGGCTTGTCTTGCTTTGGCCAAGTGCTCAGCATGCAATTCTGGCATGGGCAAAGTCTCATTCCTCCCTAGCTTTTTCCCTCTCCATGGGTCATGGCATCTCCAGATGTCCTGCAGAGTGTCCATGACCATGTTAAACAGTGGTTGCCAGAACTGGGCACCAGGCTCTGGTGGATTCTGACATGCAAGGGGTCCAGGGCTTCTCTTCCCTGGGTAGTGGGCACCGTGCGAGCCACGGGCACTTAGGTTCTGGAGCTCCTAACTCCTCATTCCAGTTGGAGTTCTGCCTGATTAGCTGTAGCCCTAGAGCTTTTCATACTACTGCCAGAATAAATCTCCATGCTGAGTTTATTCCTGTGATTAACTTATTAAAGAAAAATACAGCAAATAATATAACCAACATTATATTTGACAAAAAGGACTTTTTTAAGAGAATGCATGTGGCACCACCAAAATAGGAGGTTGTGACAACTGACAGCTCCAACAACGGCTCCAAGCACTCAATGCTCAATGAATGCCTGGTGGTTCTAAATCCTGCCCCTTCTCCCCAAGAAGGCATCTGTCTGCCTCCTCCTGGGACCCCATCTTCTCCCTGAACTAATGAGAGCAGAAGACAGAAGATGATCTTGTCTGCCCTTAGCCATGTGGGCTCTGTGAAGCTGCTGTCCCCACTGACCCACCTCTAGGAAGGTCTGGCTGTGTGAGAATGGGTGAAGGCGAAACGGGGAACAGGTGCACCTCCCTGTCCTGACAGCGGACACTAGCCACGCTGCAAGGAGTACTCAGGATATGCAGGACGCTTATGAGGACTGTGCCCCCTAAGCAGTGAGATAGGGAGGATTGGGATTTGGAACTGCTTCAATTCTTGACTCTGTACTTGACATACTGGCTGTGTGACCTAGAGCAAGTGAATTAACCTTTCTGAGCCTTAGTTTCCCCATATGACCTGTGGATACTGACACCAACTTCTCAGGATTGTTATAATGATTAAACGAGTCACTGTATGTGAAACACCTAGCACAGAACTGGGTACATGGAACTGGGCTCTTGGACTGTGGGACAGGAGGAGGAGGAGCTGCAAGGAAACCAGTCTCGGGTTCCCTGGACGGCAGGGAGAAGATCCCCCAGGTTTGGCGGATGATCTGTTTAGGAACCTGGATGCCATTCCCAACCCGCATCTGATGGCGGGAGAAAGGGACTGACCAGCTGCTCCCGCTGCCCACACAGAAGCCCTTCCCCACTGAGAATGGGGTGTCCCATCAGTACGGATAGCAGGAGCTCACCATGTCCACGACATTTGCCATCACCAGGATGAAGATGGCTAACATGGCCCAGGTGTTCCTGGCCCAGCGGGTCCGGTCGATCCAAGTTGAGAAGGCCACAAGCTTCTGAGGAAAGGCCTAGAAGCAAAGGAATTTCAAGGGCCATGAGCCTCTGACAGCCCTTTCTCCCGCAGACATGGCTGCTAATGACTCCGGTTGCTCCCACGCTCTGGTCCCAGGAACCTAGAAAGTGGTGCTTTGCCTGCAAGTGAGCCGACAGCGAGGGACAGCGCTGTGATGAGAGTGCGTGACTCCTGGTGCTATGCTGGTCCCACTCAAGGCATCTGTGCGACACCACGGTTCCCAAATCGCAGCCCTTCCCAGAGCAGACTGTGACCACTTCGGGAGGCCGTGATCTCTCTCCTAGGGGCAAGGCCAGGGCAGGGGACACTTTTCAGGGCTGGCTGTCTCTGGGAGCTACCTGCCTTTCCTGGGTCAGTAAACCTAAATCTTCCAGGATACCTGGAGAACCACCTGTCAGATTCATTTTCCTAAAACACTGCTTTTCCCTTGTCATTCTGATGGGAAGCTCTGCCTGGCACCCCAGTGCCCACAGGAGAAAGTCTTAATCCCTTTACTCTGGTGTTCAAGGGCCTTCACAACTGGGGCTAACACACCCTCCGGCCAGGCCTCCACTGCTTTGCTACGCCGGTTCCCGTGTATCCAGACTCTGCCTTGCCCAGCACACTGCAGCGCCAGCCGCCCAAGCCCGGCCTAGGGAGGGCTTGGCTGGTGGCGAATGAACGATGGACGGACAGATGGATAAGCGCCTGAACCATCCTAACAGAGACGTCTGTCGGGAGTTGACAGGAAGCATGACTCCACCGGCACCCAGTTATACAGGGAACGCCACTCGCTTCTGGGCGAGCCCAACAGGAAAGCGCCTCTTACCCGGGGGAAGATGGCAGCCAGCGAGCAGGTGGTCAGGATCAGGAGGAGAATCTCCCCAACCACAAAGGTCACATAGTTTGTCATAAGCCTGTGACAGAGAGAAGACAGGTCAGAGGGAACAAGGACACTGGGTGAGGGGCTAGAGAGGACACAGAAAGGGAGGCCCCCTAAGCTCAGCATGAGCCTGTGTCGGAGAAGTTCCTCGCTGACACCGGGGACTCATGACTGCTGGCTGCGCAGAACAGGATGAAGAGGCCCTGACCAGAGGGGGCCACCAGCTGAGCGTGGGCCTGGGAGCGTGCCACTCTCCGGCTGTAACTGTTGGCTCTGGGACATCTCCCGGAGAAGGGATGACTCACAGACACCCTGGGCTGGGCCAAGGGAAAACTTGGAGGGGACCTTAGGAACGCGCGTCTGCCGCGTGCTGCGCTGCCGGGACGGAGCACGGGGCAGGGCGGCTCCCTCGCTGCTGGGAGCCGCTGAGAGTTCGCCTTTGACCCCCGCGCAGAGCTTTACACGGGGATGTCCCTCACACGGCCACTTCAGCTCAACTCTGAGAAATGTGCTGTCCCCAAATGCTCCTCTCACACCCATTCCCCCCAGTTAACCCCTCCACGGAAAGTACTTTTGCCGAGAGGCCCGGGAACCTGTGTTGCTAAATCCAGTGTCCGATTCTCAGTCGCCTCCTTGAATCATTTTTCCCACTTGGTTTTCAGGGTCTTTTCAGACCCTGCTGGTTCCTTCCTGTCCCCCATCTCTATGCACTGCTGTGCTGGGGCTCGGTCCCTGAGCCACTTCTGTCCCGATCTGCACGTGCCCTTGACCTTGTCACGTGTCATCATGCCTTCAGTGCAGCCTGTGTGGGGGCGACTCAGGTTTGTGTCCCCAAGCCCGTCCTCTTCCTGAGCTCCACACTGTATTTGGCAGGCATCTCAAACTTAACTCTAAAACCGAACTCCTGATCTCTGCCTCTCGACTCTCCCCTTCCCGCCACCGTCTCCAGCTTGGTTAACGGCCACTGCGTCCTGCCAGCCGCTCAGGTCAGACACCCAGGAGACACCCTGCCCCCACGCCCACGCCCCATAGCCAGTCCCTCCGCCGGTCCTGTCAGCTCGCTCTCCAGCGTGCAAAACGCCACTCATCATCATCTTTGATAACTTTGGCCTGGCCCGAGTCACTGTCACCCCTAGCTGGTCTCATTGCCTGCGTTAGTGAGATCTTGCTCACCACTCGTACTCCGTGATCCTTCTCAGACGCGCGTCACAGCAGGGACTCCTGCTCTCGCCAGGCGCCTCCCACGTTATTGGCGGAAGCCGGTGCCCTGCCACGGTCTGAGGCCCCAACTCCCACCACTCTCCCATGCGCCCCCGTCCCAGCCGCATTGACCCCCAGCCTGCCTCACACCACTGTCTGAAACAGGCGTCCCCCAGGTACCAGACGGCTCGCTCCTCACCCACCTGGGGGCTTCCCTGAAACGTCACCCTGTCCGCGAGGCCGGCTCTGACCATGCTAGGTAACAATGCAAACGAAACAAAATCTTCCCCCGTCTTCCCCTCCTGGCTTTCTTTTTATCTGCAGTACTTACCACTACCTGCATATATATTTTGATTATTTAATGGCTTATGCCTATCTTCCCTACGGGGATGCAATTCCACGAGAGCAGGGATTTTCGCACGCCTTGTGCGCAGCTGTACGCCCAGACCCTACGCCAGGTGCAGAGCAGACGATCGGCAGGTATTCGTGCAATGAACGAACCTGATCCTCACGACGACCCTGAGAGTCGGCCAGGGCAGATGTTGCCCTCGTTCTACAGACGAGGAAACTGCTGCTCCCCGGCCTTCAGCGACCTGCCCAGGGTCATGCGTGCGGAACCGCAGATGGGGCGACTGAGTCCAGGGGTCTCTACAGTTCCCCAAACTGTTATCTGCACAGGACTCCCCACCCCTCCTCTTTGACGGGAACCCCCGAGCAGGAGGGAGTGCTGACCAGCCATGGGGAGGGAGGGTGGCAGTCACCCTCAGGTAGGGCTTCAACAGCTGGGGCAAGGATGCCAGCACGCCCACCTTGCCCCCGAGGACCTGCTGCTATGTTAAGGAGGCCGTCGCTTTGCACCCGGAGCCTAAAATCTATCTGGACTAAGATGAGCCAAGAAAGAAAGGCCAGGGCAGCCTTGGTGACTGAGGTTGAGGCAGTGTCTCCATCCTTGTCCCAAGAACCACTCTAGGGCTCACCCAGCTAAGGCCTCTGTCCCTCAGCTTTCTCGGCTCTGGAGACATCCCCGCCTGGTGCTAGCGCTGCCCTGGAACCCAGGGACAGAAAGCAGGAGGGTCCCAGGCACAGGCTAGCATTCCCTGAGCCTGAGGTCAGCTGGGACTACTCCAGTGGGGACAGGGACAAGGTCTGCACCCAACTTCAGGCTCCAGCTAAGGTCCCCAGCCCCCCTCACGCCACTGTGGCTTAGGAAGCTCAAGGCCTTCACCGTCTCCTGCTGTCATTTCCCGCCACCGCGCCTCCCTCACCAGGGGTCAATGAGAATCTCGACCAGGGCTGTGCACAGCAGGACGACGCAGGAGCAGCTGAAGGCGGCCCCGCTCTGCTTTTCCTTCTCCACCGAATAGCGGGTTTCCATCTCGGGGTCCATGAAGCGCATGGACAGGAGGAAGGTGTTTCTCTTCTTCACCCTGCAGCAGAAACGAGCCCTACGAGTCACAAAGGCGACAGCCACACTGGCCTCCAGGGCCTGAGCCCCGTGCTGGGGGAGGAGCACCTAGGGTGAGGGCTGGGACGTCTGCAGGGGCCACTTACACCTGGGCGGACTCTCGCTCGAGCAGGGCCTCGTTGAGTAGCTGGTTGAGCTCATGCTCGTCCTCGGAGGCGTCCACCACCCGGTCGGCCAGGTCCTGAAGGCGTAGCCTCCGGCGAGGGTTGGGGAACGAGGGGTTGTCGGCCTGTAAGCCAGGGCAGTGGAGTCAGTGGGACAGATGGACAGAGTGGTGGGGAGGAGTCGGGAAAGACGGAGGTAGAAGAGGAAGGGAGGAGAAGAGACCACATTCATGAGGACTCATCCTTGCAGCTCTAAAACCCCTTTCCAGCCAAGTCTTCCCAATGCTCCCAGTGGCTCCATCCTGCTTGGCTTTCGACCCAAAGCTCCAGTCCTTCCTGCTCTCCCTGGGCCCCAACCGCGCTCTGCAGCGACGGTCACTGACGGCGGTGTCATGGCGGGCAGTCCCCGGCTCCTGGGCAGGAGACCCAGAATTTGAGGCAGCTGCCGGGTCGGTGAAGTCCTGGCATGTCCTGCTTCGTGGATGGGGGTCACATGGCCACACACACCAGCACCCTGGGGGCAGGAATGATCCCCAACCTCACGGCTTAGGGGGCTGTTAAAGGATCCCTGAGGGGAAAAGCAATGGAGAGAAGGATGTCCCTGCACTGGCGGCTGACCCGGGTAGGGCAGGTGGAGCTGGGCACCCACTACCATTTTCCTGTCACAGAGGCAAAGCATCAGCTCTAAGGACGGGACTGCTGACTGTGATTCCGCAGCCGTCAGTCCCAACAGTGACTGGGACCAGGCACATCAGAGCCACCCAAATGGGTCCAAGAGTGTCTGGGGGCAGAACCAAGGCCCTGGTCTTAGCGCAGGTGGCCGCTGGTTGAGTGTGACCCCCAGATAATGCATGTTCCCCCAGCCCCGTTTTTCTCCCCTGCAAAGTCATGTGGACGGTCTATTCCAGCACCAAGAACCTCTGTCCCTGAAGCATATCCTGGAGCAGTGTGGCTCCAGGCTAACGGTGGCTAATGGTGAGGACACAGAAAGTCACAGGCTGCTACAGCTGTATCTGTGTCCTTCTTAGTAGGTAACATCGAGTCTATTTCCACGTATTAATGAAAAGAGATACCGAATGTTTGGTGTTCAGGAAAAACCCAGTTTACCGTATTCACGCCCTGTCTACCTTGTTCTCCAGCGTCTGATCTAAAGGCATTAGGGGACTTTCCCATCTCCCCGACACAGTGACGGGCAACTCTGTCTCCGCAGCACCCACCTCTGTATCAGCGCATGTACCGAAACAGCTCTTTAGCAATGGACAAATTCCAAGCTGTGCCCTGCCTCTGGGACAGCACGCTAATTCCTCTCTCTTAGTGGGCTTTGGAAACGTCCCCTCTGCGCGTGGAGCTTGTGGGGCTGCAGCCTGGCCAGAGGGGTGAGCCCAGCTCTGAAGTCTCACTTCCCTAACAGTCTCGGATCCTACAGAATTGTCTACGATGTCCTCGCTGACCTCGGAGCTACAGGATTCAGGGCCTCAGAGGGGAGCACTTCCTTTGACCTCACCTGTCCCCACCCCACGCAACTGACGAGGAGACGGCTGGGCTGCGGGGGGCCAGCGGAGGTGTCCTGCTCGTGGCTGCAGAGCTAAAAGGGAGCAGATCCTGGCTAGCAGCTGGGTCTCTCCCTCCCCGCACATGACTCACTGCTCTCGCTGCAGCAACTCGCTGCCTTTCTGTCCCTGCCCACACCCTGGCCTGTGAGCCCTCCCTGCCCTCAGCCCTGTGTGCACCTGGGCGTCCTGCTCCTCAGGCTCCTCCGACGTGGAACCACCGGCGTGGACGCTCCCATTGGGCTCCTTCGTCCCGATGAGGGCCGGGGAGCTGGGCTTGGAGGAAGCTGGGGCTCCGTTCGGCAGGCCCTGCGGTGGAAAGCGGCGGTCATCGGGGACCCCAGACACTGCCCATCCCAGCCTGTCGTCAGTCTACAAGCAGTCTGGAATCTTCCCACTGGAGTTTTAGAAGCCTCACTGACTTAGGAATTTCACTATTCAGTTCCTTCTCTAGAATATTAATTTTAAAACGCTTTTAATTTTCTAGTATCAATTTCCATTATTAAAAATTCTCTAAGCAGAGAAAGACCCAGTTTTTCCAACTCCCATTTCTGGAACAGCAATTCAATGATACTAATTCACAGGTCTTTTTTGGCGCAGATCCCTGTCAAATGCCAGTTTCCCCAGCGATTAGTATTTGTCCTTGATAGAGTAAGTTAAACACTGTAACACGTGGAAACAGTTCATTCCATTCATTCATTATTTATCGAGTGCCTACTGTGTGGTAAGAACTGTTCTAACTCCTGGGGATACACACAAAATGTCCTGGCCTGTGGAGCTCGCATTCTGACGAGGAAAGGCACAGTAACAAGCAGGCGAGTACACGGTACATAGTGCGCTACGCTATGCAGGTAGAGAGGGCAGGACAGTCGGCACAGGGATTCCAGGGAGTCTGACTGTAAAGAGAGCACGTGTCACTGTGCAGGTGACCTTTCAGTGAAGACCTGGAGGAGCGATCACACAGCTACCCGGGGAGGAGGTACTCCAGGAAGAGAGAACAGCCGGTGCAGAGGGCCTGGAGCAAGCGTGTGCCTGGAGTATTTGTGCAACCACCAAGCTGCCGGCGTTGCTGGAGTAGTGAGGGGAAAATAGGGAGGCGTGGGCCAGGCTGCACACGGCCCCACTGACCTCTGCCAGGCCTTCGGCTTTTACGCTGAGTGAGATGGAAGACCAAAGCGGGGCTTTGAGCGGGGAGCGACGTGGTTTCACTTGATGTTTTAGCAGGGTGACTCTGACTGCTGTGTTGAGGAAGAGGGCGGAGGGCAAGGGCAGAGGCAGGACGGAGAACTCTGCCGTGATCCAGGCACGAGAGGACAGTGGCTCCGAGGGAGCTGGAAGCTGGGAGGGTGCGGGGAGTGGCGGGACTGACTCTCGCAGGGAGAGTCAACAGAACTCGCTGTGGACTGTAAAGAGAGGCATCAGGATGGCTTCAGCTCTTTTGGTCTGAGCCATTAAAAGGATGGAGTTGCGGTGAACCGCGATCGGGGGGACTGAGGAAGAGCAGGAGCCCGGCTTTGGACAGGCGACACTGGAGATGCTTGTCACAGGCACAAACAGAGTCCTACAAGTGGCCGTATGCCGAGTTCAGGGAAGCCGCTGGGGCTGGAGATACAAATTTGGGATCTGGTGTTTAAAACGACGAGACTAGACGAGATTGACAAGGTTAGTGTCAATAGGGAGATGTCTCAGAAGCTTCTTAACACTTTGGGAAGGATTCATTATGATAATTATCCTCAAACTCTCCTTATCACTTTATTCGGCTAAACCACAGGGAGAGATTTCTGCAAACAGAGCTGTATTTACTCCTGTGACTCCCAGAGAAGTTACTCTCATTCCGAACCTCTCCCTACCACCACTCATGTCGCACGCACGCATCGTCTTTCCCATCTCAATCACTCCTGCTTCGGTCCTTCGGACTCAGGCACCGCTGAGTAGGTTCGGTGATGTAGCACTGCCCTGTCCCAGTGCACGCTGCGTGGGACTCTCTCTAAAGAATGGGTAAGCTATCACGTGGGCTTGTGACAGCTGCACCAAGTGGGTCACGTACCAACACACGTGGGGGCCGACGGCTGTTACACAGCCTGGCAGCTAAGACAACTGGAATCATCTACAGCAGCTAAACTTTTAAGTTCCCTGAGAGAGGAGATGGAACACAATGAATGCCTAAGTATTTGATAAATGGCATATGACAAAGGGTTAATTTTTCTAATAAACAAAGAGCTCCTACAAATTAAGAAAAAAAGGCATCAATGGTTAGAAATGAATATACAATTCAAGGAAGAAAATCATCTGGCCGACAACCATGTTAAAAATACCCAGCCCTACTAATAATTAAAGAAATGAGGTTCAAACGATGAGATATCACAGTTTTGCCTTTAAAATTAACAAAGATAGGCCAAGCGTGGTGGCTCATGCCTGTAATCCCAGTGCTTTGGGAAGCAGGAGGATGGCTTGAGGCCAGGAGTTTGAGACCAGCCTGGGCAATATAGCAAGACCCCATCTCTATAAAAAACAGGAAAATTAACCAGGCATGGTGTCACATGCCCATAGTCCCAGCTGCTGGGGAGGCTGAGGCAGGAGGATCGCTTGAGCCCAGGAGTTTGAGGCTGCAGTGATCACACTGCACTCTACAGTACACTAGCCTGGATGACAGAATGAGACCCTGTTTTTAAAAAAAAAAAGAGAGAAAGAGAGAGATAAAAGTAAGTGCCCAGTGGCATCAAGGGCATGGCTGGGGTGCCAGAGGGGAGTGGGTAGGCAGCATGAGTAAACTCTGAACATACGTAACCTTTAAACCAGTATTTCACATCGAGAAATTTATGTTTTTCAGGCAGGGGCACTAAGAAATTGTTAAACATCAACTTTACAAAAATACCGAAAACCTGGCTTGCCTTAAAATGTCAGGGAAAGAAATCTTAAAAAGCAAACACCACTCATATTGGAAATAGTACCACTGTATTTATTTGTCTGACGAAGTGTTTTATGGACTGTGCTGTCCTGTCCTGTGCAGGCCGCGTCTGGGCCCCTGTTCCAACTGGCCCAGAGCATCTGTGCTAACGTGTCACGCTATGTGTCAGTGAACTCAACTTGCTTCTAATTGTAAAACGTCACAAGGACCCAAGCGCAGCAGCTTCATAGAAACGGCTCTGCCGAGCAAGGTCCCCCGTGCCTCAGTTCCCCCACCAGTAATCCTCACGGGGCGTCATGTGCTGAGAAGTCCTGACTCAAATTACGCACCTTGCAAGGGTTTCTTAAATAAAACGAGGAAACAAAGTAAAACACAACATTAGAACCAACAAGAATGAGTGGTGTTGTCACGAAGATAAATATTTGACTGCTGCTTTGTGACTTTAAAGTGGCCCCTGGTAAAACCAAATCTGTGGGTGATTTTTTAAAAAAAGAATAGCATTTTCTGATTTATTAAAAAGTATATATGCCAGTAATTGTAAATTTCCTAGCGCCTCTCAAAGGTAGCCAAATTACTGTCAACTTTTGTAGAATAGTAGTAGCAAGGTACATTTTTAATTTGTCCCAGTGAGTATACTCAGGTGCTGCATCTCATACTCTTAAAAACATGAACAACTCGTGGATTTGGTGGCAAGGTCAAGTCTGATTTCATGGGGCTCCAATTACTACCCTGAAATTTTCTAATTTTCTGAAAGACAGCTTCCTACTAATACTGTTCTGGGTCCTTAGAGCATTTGCTGTAGCTCAAACTTCACACTTAGCACAAAACACGCTGTCCCGTCCTTTGCTTTAACATTTAGCACCTAGTGGGTATGGAACATGTCACATCCACCTTTATGCTCCTTCCAGCTTAGCAGTGTGACCTGCACGCAAGGACAGACCCGACAGACATCGAGAGGCAACGTGGCCGGCAGGGCGGGAGCAGAGCTTTGGTTTGAGAATCCGGCTCTGCCGCCCGCTAGGTCTGCAGCTCGCGCGAGGTCTGGGCCTCAGCTCCTCCTCCGCAAAGGGGGCAGGACAGCCCCTCCCGCAGGCTGCCTGGAGGATCAAGACGGATAAGGAATGCAAAGAAGTCCTCGATAAATAGTGGCTGCGATTAGATTTGTTGAGCAGATGACTATTCTGTGTGTTTGACTGATTTGCTAATTGTCACATACGCCTGGGGGAGGGAAAAAGGGGTCCAGTTTTCTTTTAAACTTTATCAGGAGTAACCTCTTCAGCGATCCCTCCTGCCGCCTCACCAGAGTGAGCTTTGCTTTAGCCGCAATTAGGCACAGCCTCAGCCCTGGGTGGTCCTAAAGGACATGACATCCCTGAGAGTCACCAAACTCTTTAACGTTCTAAGTCTCATTGGACGGATTCTTCTAACTGAACAAACAGAGTTTTGACATGATAGATTATGGAGAATGAAACACTCTCCAGATTCAGCAGAGGATGGTAAAGGATCAATTTCTGCACCAGCTGCTGGTGGCTTCCATCAGAAGGACTGTCAGGAGGTTTATTGCAAGTGCTGAGGGCTTCGGGCTGCAGAGCCACACGGGACCCTGGCACGAAGACCAGACCGGAGGGCAGGACAACATGATGGCTCTGTCGTTTCTGTCCCACACCTTCAATTTCCCCTCAGGAGACCTTCTGGGCCTTCGTTCTCCCCCTTGAGCACCAATCATCCCCACCCACATCCCCCCTCTGTGCCCCCTCTCCATTGGCGTCCGTGTCACTCCTGTGGCTACACCCACTTCCTCTATGCAGAGGACTATATCCCCAACCCAGCCACTTTCCTGGGTGCCACCTACACACTCCCAGTGGCCGCCCCTTCTGGATGTTGTCTCGGGATACACTCTAGTCACCACAAATACAACGTGCCGAATCACACGGTCTCCCCCAGGAAGCGGCTTGCCCTCTGAAAGGTGCTGCCACTAGTCTCTTGCCCGGTGGGACTCAACCTGCGCCCCCCCACGGCCAGCCATCTTCAAGTCCTGCCAACTCCTACTCCACAGTCTTTCACGAACCCTTCCTTCCCAACCCCTAATCCAGCGGGTGGGGGGTCTCACCGAGCTGTTGAGGCCATTTTGGGTGGCTGTTTTCTTCACCTCCGGCTTGGACGCGATGATGAGGTAGGTTTCAATGCCCTTCTCCTCCAGGTAATCGCAGCGGCTGCCCCCATGGCCCGGCTCCACGTCGAACTCTCCTTTCAGGCAGTCCATGGTGCTCTGGGAGATGTGCACGCGCCTGGACCGCAGCCAGAGAGTCCCTGAGCACCGGCCAGAGGCAGCCTGCACCCACCCGCATGGCGGTCGTCGGACCACGGTGGCACCGGCTACTGCTCGGGCCTGTGTCCCGAGGCACGTGGGGCAGAGGCGAAGCGGAGGCCGTCCGCCACTAACTGGCTGTGGGGGCAGTGGGCGCCTGCTCCCCTGAGCCTCAGTGTTGATCCCTGAACGGGAATAGTTTTTCCGCATGGACTGTGGAGAGTATCAAATGTGATGAGGAATTTAACAGTCTGCTCTGAACTCTAAAGGGGTAAGGTCTGATTCTCCTCAGCTTGCCTGCTGCCAAGGCGTAGTAAAACCCATTTCTGAGGAGTCACAATTGAGGGAGAGAATCGGAACTGCCCTGGAAGGAAGCTCCCTGACCCAGGTGGGAAAGGCCGGCTGATCCTCCCGCAGCCTTGCCCCCTACAGGCAGGGCCTGCGCGGCCGACAGGCTGATTCTGCAGGACATGCAAGCGAGTTGTAACCTCAAAGTCCTGCCTCTGAGCCTGTTAACCGACTGTTATCAGCAATAACGCCCTCTGGGGAGACCTGGGCTGTGACGTCAGCAGAGCTGGGGAGCCCCCCAAGTGGGTAAAGGAGGACAGACAGCCGCAGGGATCCTGGCAGGAGAAGCCACATCCAGCATCAGGCCCAAGGAGGCAGGCACTCTGAGGAAGGGTGGATGGGATGGTCCCCTCCCCTGGTCCTCACACCTGCCCGCTTGGACGGGGCGCTCACCCAGGGATGCCACCGGCCTCCATCTTGTTGGCCACAGTGACATCGGTAGACCACACGTCATACTGCCAGCGCTTCTGGCCCAGGACGCCCCCCAGCACGGTGCCCGTGTGCACCCCCACACGCATGTCCACCCCGGTCTTGGTCTTCTCCCGCACATACCTGCCAGGTAACAGAGAAAGGAGGGGTCGGGGTGTGGCCCTCACAAGGCGGCCAGCCCCCTGACCCCCTGCAGGGGGGATTCTGCACAGGCTCCTTCCCCTCCAGGCCAAGGGGGCCTAGCAGGTGCCCGCGGTGTTCTGCCCACATCTGAGCACACGACCTGCTGCGGGGTCTGACGCAGGCCAAGGCAGGAGCCTGGTCGGCAGTCACAGGCCAGTGGGACAGCAGCAGAGCGGCTCTCCTCCCCTCCCTCTGTCCCCTGAAGGACCTCCAGTTTCTGTCTCCCACTCATGAACAAAACAGCCGTGAACAGCTCCCCTGCTTACAAGCTCCAGGAAGGGGCAAACATGAAATTCAGAAATTTGCCTCATGGGGACGGGAAAGGAGGTTGAGGTTTCTAATCCTGAACTACTGCCCCCAGCCCCTGGGCTAAAAGCAGCATTTATGTCTTGCCAGGCCAATACTAGAGGGAGTTTAACCTGGAAGATTGTAAAAATGCGAAGCCACTCGCTCAGCGACAGCGGTGAAGGCCAAGCCAGGCTCCTGGACTCCACCCCGCGGGGGAGGAGCCTCGGCAGGCGCTTCCCTTCCCACTTGGGTGCTGCTGTCACCCCGGCCCACCAGACAGCTTAAGTCACCAGAGGAATCGTCCTTCCCGAGATCTCCAAGGCCGCTTGGAGCAGTGACAAGTGGGGAGAGCGAGGGGAAGACAGTTCACCTCTCTCCAGCCTCCGCCACATCACGTGGCCTCAGCAGTCACCTGCTGGTGAGATGGGGAGGGCAGTCCCTGAACCCACCTGCCTTGGGGGGTGTCATGGAGAGAACACACTCGGGGAAGAGATGGAGACGTGAAGGGGCATCCCGGCACCCGTGAGGTGGCGCGATGACTCTCACTACAGCTACTCCCAGCAAAAGAAATAACACGAACCACAGCCGGAACGCATGCCCCAGAGGCTGTGGAGGTCCTGCAGTGTCCCTCGGCTGTGAGGACGCTAAGCCACGCACTGACTTCCCGGAGCTGGGGACTGAGCCGCTGTCAACCAGTGCTGCATCCCAGCGAGCTGAGTTCCATGTCCCCAGCAGACCCCTCCACGGGGCCCTGGCTGGCACCTGCGGACTGGGGCGGGAGGCCTGCTTTCCCCGGGTGCAGGGTTGTCGGGACCCTGCACGTGCCCTGGGGGCCCCTCCCGAGACACGCAGAGGCACTCACGAGATGGCCTCCACCATGGCGAGCCCCATGAGGATGGAGCAGACGGCGTGGTCCTCCCGGTAGTCGGGCAGGCCGCAGATGCAGTAGTAACAGTCGCCCAGGATCTTGATCCGCAGCTGGTGGTATTTCTGCAAGGGCAGGACAGGGCCTGTGCTCCCAAGTCCCTCAGCCGCGGGGAAGTGGCGACGAGAGTGGAGGAGGACAAGTGGAGAGAGTGAGGGAGCCGGGGAGGGCCCGGCATGGCTTGGACCCCAGCGGGGTCGGGTACTTACGGCTGCCAACTTATCAAAGCGGGCAAAGAGCTCGTTGAGCAGCTTCACGAGCTCCTGGGCACTGCAGGCAGACGACAGCTGGGTGAAGCCCACGATGTCCGCGAAGAGGATGCTGCGAGGAGGGAACCGCAGGCAGTGAGGCGCGCCTGACTCCCCGCCCGCTCCCGCTCCAACCCATAGGGCAGCCAGGATGACGGGGGAGCAGGCCTTTGCTCGACCCCCAAAGCGGTGAGACCTTGGCACCCCCAGGCAAAGTTGGGGCTCTGACACTTCAGCAGGTCCTCGTGGACTTCCCCTCCGCAGGCCCCCCTGCCCATGGTGCCTGGGGACCACCCACACTGCCCCACTCCTGCTCTGGCCTGGACGCGTCCTTCTGCCTGGAATCACGGGTCTAGCCCCAGTGCCGGCCCTGAACGGCCGGGTGACCTCACAGGAGTCCCTTCCCCGCCCTCGGTGATGTCTGTCCAAGGATGGGGTCAGACCAGGCAGCTTCAAGCACAGTGCGCTGACGTCTGCCAGCTTCTCCCCCAGGACCAACAGGAGGTCCCTGGGAGAACTCTCAACGCCCTCGGCACTCGGCAGGGCCCACGGAGGCGCGTCCCTCCGCGGCCTGTTCTGTGCCGCAGCCCAAGCCTCGCAGGCCGGCGCACCTGACGTTCTCGTGGCGGTACATGTACATGGTGTTGAACTGCTGCTGGTCCTTCTGGCTCTCGTCTTTCTTCATGTCCTTCAACATCTCGTCGGCCACGTGCTTGGGCAGGATGGAAAGCATGAGGTTCTCCTGGGAGAGCAGGAGAGGGTTAAAGGGCAGGGCAGGGCCTGGCCTGACTTTTCCAGGGGCAAGTTTGGATACTTCTGTGGAGAAACCCTCTGGTCCTGGTGAGAGATGTCAGCCAGGAGCCAGGCTGAGCCTCCACAGAGCCCTCGCAGACCCGCATCGGGAAGCAGCCAGGGGCCCCGGACGGGCAGCGGGACAGAGCTTTGACAGCCCCTTCAGAGCACCGAGGGGAGTCAGCAGCGCCTCAGAGAAGGCCAAGAGTGGCTCTGTGCTCAGCATCCTCCTCGTGCCACAAGCAGCGTGACAGTCCCCGTGCTGGCTGCTGCACTGTGAGCTCTAGGGGCAAGATCTCTGCAGAGTCACCTTGTGTCACTCAGCATGCCTGAAATTCAGATTCGACCTGACTGGAGACCTCCTGAGTACCAGGTGCCACGCAAGGTGCCCGTGATACAAAAGCAGCACAAGTTTGCACCTCAGAGCGCTGAGGGTCCTGGGGTGGACACGGGCAGGCACGCCCAGCGCAGTGCGAGGCAGTTTCTGTGACCGGAGTGGGGAGCAGCGGACTACGCAAGTGACGGGGGAGGCGGCATCAGGAGCCTTCCCGGAAGCGAGCCCCGGCCAGGCCTTGCGCGAGATGCTAGAGCGCTCCTGTCACAGGGGGCCACACACACAAAGGCACAGGCACAAAAACTACACCAGGGTCAGGGACCTGCACGCATTTCATGGAGGGAGAAACAGGAATATGGCTCGAGAGCCAGGCACGGTTTAGATCAGGGGTCAGCAAACCGTGGCCTGTGGGCGCAACCTGGCTGCTGCCTGCTCTCATTAACAGAATTTTACTGGCACCCAGCCAAGCCCCTTTGTTTACCTATTGTCTCTGGCTGGCTTTGCCTCCAACGGCAGAGCTGAGTGGTTGTAACAGAGACCATATGGCCCGCAAAGCCAAAAATATTTACTATGTGGCTCTTTTCAGAAGTTGTTTGTGGCTCAGGCATCTGGGAGGATGGTGCCATCCCCGAAACTGGGAACAAAGGAGCAGCAGACGTGAGGGGAAGGCAGGAGTCTGGCTTTGAGGGCTGTGGGCCGCCACGGGGGCTCGGGAGACACCAACGGGCTGAGCCCTGGAAGCCACGGGACAGACCGAGCAGAAGGGGGGGGACGACCGGCGGGGAGCCCTGCCAAGAGGGGAAGGCTGTCCCTGCGCCCTGCAGGGAGGAAGGTGATGACAGTGGCTGGGAAAGGACGATGGGAGCCCCATCCTGCCACACGGGGGTCCCTCTCTCCTGTGCTCTGTGGCTTTATGCTGAGAACTAATCATCTTTCTTGCAGTGAATCACACCATCAGGACAAACGAGAGTGTCTGGCGCTGGCTGCAGCCCGAAGCACTTACAGTGGCTTTACTGTTTTTCGTCCATTTCCACAGTGATGTCTCCTCACTGTTAAAGACTTCCTAATGGCATGATGACAGCTCAGGAATGAGAACCCAAAATAAGCCCGGCGCGCCCGGGAAGTAGGAGCAGGTTCTCCCAGGCCCCGCAGCCCAGATAGAGCAAGTGCCTGACACTCAGGCGAGCTCGGCTTGGCCCCTGCCATCCCTCTGCCAGTCGGGCCTGGCAAGAGGACCTGATGCAAAGGGGCTGTGGGGGGGTCTCAGGTGGGATCAGGGACATCTCCCGGACTCTAACCGGGCACCATGAGGAAAGCTCTTCCTTTCCGGAAAAGATGAGCCTTCAGGAGGCTTTTCAAGAAAAGCCAGAGACGAGCCCTGCCAGTTCTGGCGAGTAACGGGCAGCCAGCTGCTGCGGTCCTGAGGGCACGTGGAGCTGAGCGGTGTCGAGGTAGCAAGCGGGAGGCAGCAGTGAGCTCTGGGCTGGGGCGGGTTTCACTGCTCAGTATCCGGGGGTCCCAGCCCAGCCCAGGTGCAGTGCCTGGCCCTGGTGCCCAGGAGGCGCCCGCTCACTGCGAGCTGCCAGGTACCCACGAAGCCTCCCCGTGCCCCAGGTCGCCAGGCAGTAAAGCAGGAGGCCCAGGCGATTCATTACCGTCAGGCACTCGGAACGGTGCCTGGCACACAGCACGTGCCTGAGGTATTTCAGCGGTTCCTACGTCACCTGACGTAGAGCATTGTGAAGGTGTCAAGATAGCAGGTGGCTCACAAAGACGAGGCCGGATCTTCCTCTGGGCTTCAAGGTTGGCCACAGGTTTATATTATAAAGAGTTCGGTGAGACGTCCCCGGGTCAGCCAGGCCTCACAGCTCTGTTCAGTGCAGGCGGGACGACGGAGGGGGACAGAGAAGGATCCTGCCTCCCATTCAAGTCTCAGCGCCCTGTTCGCCAGCGTGGGCACCCAGGGCGCTGCTATGGCGAGAAGGCCGTCGGTGTGTGAGCAGGAGGGGACGGGGAACGCGAGATTTGGACGGTCACCTCGCTGTGCTACCAACCCAGCAGCCCAAGCCCACATGCTCAGACCCTTCCTGCCCCCTCAGACTCCGCCTCAGAGCCCTGTCCCTCCAGAAAAGCCTCTCTGGGTTCCCTTGGAACCTCGGAGACACCAGAGTCCAATCTAGTTCTGTGAGGGGCTCCCTGCTCTGACCACAGTCCCAGTTTCGCTCTAAACACTCTGTCTCTGACACTGTCAACTAACACAGAACGAAGGTGGTGGCCGCGGCAGAGGCACAGAATCAGTACAGCCCTGGAGCCCAAAACACAGGAGCCTCGGAAGGTCCACATGAGCGAAGGGGCCGTTAGCTTGTGGGATGGTGGGAATTTTCCCTTTTTCCTTTATATATTTCCATAACCTTTGCCAATAGCATACATGAGTTCTGAAGGCAGAAAATCAATAAGTACCAATCTGAAAATAACAAGAAAGGAGCTGTGGTTGTAAATTAAGGCTACCAATTTACTTGTGTGGTTTACGGAAAGTTTACAGTCAACCTCAAAAGCTTAAGCAGGCAAGTAATCCACCTTAAGTCATTCTGGCAACAAGACAGTTTTTTTTTTCTTTTTAATTTAAAAAAAAAATTTTTTTGGCC